ATTTGTGGGTTGTGTAAGGTGTAGGTGTTGTGATATATGTGGAATGGAATGATCCTTACCTAAGTCATTGACTCATCCTTACCTCAGTCATTGACTCATCATTACCTCAGACAACAACTCATCCTTACCTCAGTCATTGACTCATCCTTACCTCAGTCATAGACTCATCCTTACCTCAGTCATTGACTCATCCTTACCTCAGTCATTGACTCATCCTTACCTCAGTCATAGACTCATCATTACCTCAGTCATTGACTCATCCTTACCTCAGTCATAGACTCATCCTTACCTCAGTCATTGACTCATCATTACCTCAGCCATAGACTCATCCTTACCTCAGTCATTGACTCATCATTACCTCAGTCATTGACTTATCCTTACCTCAGTCATTGACTCATCCTTACCTCAGACAACAACTCATCCTTACCTCAGTCATTGACTCATCCTTACCTCAGTCATTGACTCATCCTTACCTCAGTCATTGACTCATCCTTACCTCAGCCATAGACTCATCCTTACCTCAGTCATTGACTCATCCTTACCTCAGTCATAGACTCATCCTTACCTCAGACAACAACTCATCCTTACCTCAGTCATTGACTCATCCTTACCTCAGTCATTGACTCATCCTTACCTCAGTCATAGACTCATCCTTACCTCAGTCATTGACTCATCCTTACCTCAGTCATTGACTCATCCTTACCTCAGTCATTGACTCATCCTTACCTCAGTCATTGACTCATCCTTACCTCAGTCATTGACTCATCCTTACCTCAGTCATTGACTCATCCTTACCTCAGTCATAGACTCATCCTTACCTCAGTCATTGACTCATCCTTACCTCAGTCATAGACTCATCCTTACCTCAGTCATTGACTCATCCTTACCTCAGTCATTGACTCATCCTTACCTCAGTCATAGACTCATCCTTACCTCAGTCATAGACTCATCATTACCTCAGTCATTGACTCATCCTTACCTTAGTCATAGACTCATCAAAGAGAGAGACTGAGTGTTGGATGTCAAAGAGAGACTGAGTGTTGGGTGTCAAAGAGAGACTGAGTGTTGGATGTCAAAGAGAGACTGAGTGTTGGATATCCGTCTCTTATTATATAATTATTTCACATATTAATTAATTTATACCCACGAATAAAATCTTTGATAACTCAATGAATACTTATCCAAATCTGAATCTACACCGGCCAGAGATTCATATTTCGTTGCCAAATCGCGAAAATATTCATTATTGACAAAGTTATATCTATAATAGTATTGAACTAAAATATGGTTTTGAAAATTTAATATAATAAAATTATTTTGAATTTAAATGTAAAGTTGTGGTAAGGAGTTAAATTAAGAAAGAATAATTGAGTAATTGAGTGATATTTGATAAGTTAGGGAGAAAATTTCACATACATTGAAGTAAATATATGTTATTGCAAGAGTTAGGATGAGTCTATGACTGAGGTAAGGATGAGTCAATGACTGAGGTAATGATGAGTCTATGACTGAGGTAAGGATGAGTCTATGACTGAGGTAAGGATGAGTCAATGACTGAGGTAAGGATGAGTCAATGACTGAGGTAAGGATGAGTCAATGACTGAGGTAAGGATGAGTCAATGACTGAGGTAAGGATGAGTCAATGACTGAGGTAAGGATGAGTCAATGACTGAGGTAAGGATGAGTCAATGACTGAGGTAAGGATGAGTCAATGACTGAGGTAAGGATGAGTCTATGACTGAGGTAAGGATGAGTCAATGACTGAGGTAAGGATGAGTCAATGACTGAGGTAAGGATGAGTCAATGACTGAGGTAAGGATGAGTCAATGACTGAGGTAAGGATGAGTCAATGACTGAGGTAAGGATGAGTTGTTGTCTGAGGTAAGGATGAGTCAATGACTGAGGTAAGGATGAGTCAATGACTGAGGTAAGGATGAGTCAATGACTGAGGTAAGGATGAGTCAATGACTGAGGTAAGGATGAGTCAATGACTGAGGTAAGGATGAGTCAATGACTGAGGTAAGGATGAGTCAATGACTGAGGTAAGGATGAGTCAATGACTGAGGTAAGGATGAGTTGTTGTCTGAGGTAAGGATGAGTCAATGACTGAGGTAAGGATGAGTCAATGACTGAGGTAAGGATGAGTTAATGACTGAGGTAAGGATGAGTCAATGACTGAGGTAAGGATGAGTCTATGACTGAGGTAAGGATAAGTCAATGACTGCTGTAAGGATGAGTTGTTGTATGAGGTAAGGATGATTTATTCTCTTCACTACCTATTACTGACGGGTCCATGGTAGTATTCATTTTATTTTTATCGTTTTATTTTCCTTCAATTTCAACTCTAAGCATCAACTATCACACAATAGTTCCTCTACCTTACACCCAACCAATCCCATATTGAATCTTAACTTTTCCTCCTGATATTGATAAAATAAATTTCAATTGTTCGTTTCCAGATCTTGTTAAAGAAAAAAAAATTCACTCCTCTTAGATACAAAGAGAACTACTTTATCTAAATTTTTCAAAAAAATACATTTTCTTATTTTACATATTAAAAAGTACCAATTTTTATTTCAAAATTTGAAATTTATGATTTTTTTGGAAAACTTTTCGATTTTCTGACACGGTAGATGCTTTTTATTTTATACACTATGCCTAAAATTAACTTTTCAAACTAAAAAAATCCTAATTAGATAATTTTTCAAATATTTAATCAGTTAAATTGAATATTATTAAACTATGTTATTATTTAAATAATTTCCATCTTTTGTAATGCATCAGCACATTACCTGAAAACTTTTTAATCATTCTAGAACAAACCAACATCGTATAATCCCATCATAGCTAATCATCCATTACAATTCTGCCTATTCAAGAGCTCGTGGTGAATTTCCTAAGTTCATTCCCATTCAAAATAAAGATATTCAACAAATTTCTTCCAAAAGAACTTCGTAAACTAACTAACAAGAATAACATCTTCCATTATTTTCAACATAAATACATTTTCAAAGAATAAAATGTTCTTTAATGATTTTTTATTTGGTGAGAAATTTGCAACATTATTCTTTCATACTCAACTTCAATACAACAACTAACATATGATAGTTGGAAAAAATCACATAATAGAGCAGGTAAGTATTGTGAAGCTGAACTTTTATTTATCTGGTGTGATATGACCAAGCGAGGGACTCAGACTGCTGTATCTGTGGAGCAACATGACCAAGCGAGGGACTCAGACTGCTGTATCTGTGGAGCAACATGACCAAGCGAGGGACTCAGACTGCTGTATCTGTGGAGCAACATGACCAAGCGAGGGACTCAGACTGCTGTATCTGTGGAGCAACATGACCAAGCGAGGGACTCAGACTGCTGTATCTGTGGAGCAACATGACCAAGCGAGGGACTCAGACTGCTGTATCTGTGGAGCAACATGACCAAGCGAGGGACTCAGACTGCTGTATCTGTGGAGCAACATGACCAAGCGAGGGACTCAGACTGCTGTATCTGTGGAGCAACATGACCAAGCGAGGGACTCAGACTGCTGTATCTGTGGAGCAACATGACCAAGCGAGGGACTCAGACTGCTGTATCTGTGGAGCAACATGACCAAGCGAGGGACTCAGACTGCTGTATCTGTGGAGCAACATGACCAAGCGAGGGACTCAGACTGCTGTATCTGTGGAGCAACATGACCAAGCGAGGGACTCAGACTGCTGTATCTGTGGAGCAACATGACCAAGCGAGGGACTCAGACTGCTGTATCTGTGGAGCAACATGACCAAGCGAGGGACTCAGACTGCTGTATCTGTGAGCAACATGACAAGCGAGGGACTCAGACTGCTGTATCTGTGGAGCAACATGACAAGGTGATTCAGTTTGCATTGATTGATAGTTCAATATCAGACCAATACTTCTCTTCCATGTTGCGGGCATGGCGAGGCATTTTCAAGATTGGTACCGAAATTGGCTACTATCCCTAAATGCAACAATCATAAATGACACTTTTATCAAAAAACGTGTTTAATTCAAATTTGGCGGGCTTTTGGTCGTAGATTAATTTAACTAATATGAATTTGGATTGTGCTTTCCTTATTGATGTAATGATATTTTCACTAATAAAAAATGAAATATACACAAGAAAAAAATTATTCAAAAATTATCATTGCATTTTATTTGAAGAAATTTTGAAAACACATCATACACATACTATAAATGAATATTATCATCTTAATTTTAATAAATTTCATTTACTTGGAAAGATGCAAGATCATCTTGTACTTACTCTTCGATTTATTCCATGTAACTTCGCAGGTAATAATGGCGCACTTACCTCTATTTTGGATTTTTATAGTTTCCCTCAAAACACATTCTATGGACTTACGCTCGTATCGCGTTAAAAAATGTCGTTAAAATTGAACCGCGCCACGATTATTGCTACTTTTTCGAAATAAAATAAATTTATTATCAAAAACCTTTTTTTTCTAAGTAAAAATAAACGAAATTTTTTACCTTATGAACTTTTGATGGAAATATGCAAATTTAAAATAATAAAGAAAGCCGCGAGCGAAGCGATCGGCTTAGTTCGAAGATTTTGATTCAAATCTTTGCTGATCTGTAATTCGCGGAAGCCGCGAGCGAATCGAGCGGCTTAGGTCTAAGATTTTGATTCAAATCTTTGCTTATATTCCTTAAATTCTTTATGAAACTCGCAACAGTTCCATAAAAAATTTTAAATTCTAAACTGTCGAAATTACCGATCGGTAATCACACCCTTCACAGGCGTGTCACTTTTAGCTAAAATTACCCCTACTCGAACTATTCTCGGATAATGTCGATAAAGAAAACATAGTTCAATTAAAATATTATGTTAGATAAGAATACTCATTTGAATAATTTTCAATTCTCAACTATTAATGCAAGTTGAGTGTTAAAGCTTTAATGGTAGAGGCGAGAATTTAAATTTTGATAAACATAAATACTTTTTATTAATAAAAGAATTAAGCATCAACATATGCTTCATTAAGTGCATCATTTGTTGAATAATTATCAATCGCTTCTTGAATTGAAATCGAAACAGTTTCAATAAGAGCGTTAAACTGGTCGGATTCAATTCTTACAGGAAGCATTGTGAGTCTCAGCATATCCTCATCAATGAAAATCGCTGTGAAGACAACGTAAGAATTGTCAACGGTGTTTCTAGCGTAGATATGCATATCATCTGGGTGAAGCCATTCATATTGAGCGTTTGAAAGACATGTTTGGAGTGTAAGCATAAGTTCTTCGATAGGAATTGGGATTTTTTCAAATGATTGAGGTTCCATTTCGAGTTCTGGAGTGTCATTAAATTCAGCAGTGTATCTTCTCTCAACAAGTGAGAATGTTTCCGGAGAAGAAACGTCAGGAATCGCTCTGCGACGTCCGAATGAATCTGCTGAATTTGCAGAGCCCATTGGGAGAACATTTGGTGAGATGATGAATGCATCGTTAGGAATTGCATCATCAGCAGAAGAATCAGTGGGCCATTTGAGAGTATCAATTGAGATATTTCTTGTAAGCATATGAGCGAAAACCTTGGCCATAGTGTGGGTCTCTGCACGAAGTTCTTCGTTGATCTCCTCATCAGATTGGTATCCAATTGACTTCAGGACAGTATATGTTGCCCATGGAACGTCTTTTGGATCAACCGGGCTCGTAATAAATGGAAGACGAAGAGGTGTTGGAAATACGTATTTTTCTAGGCAAAACATCCTGAATGATGGGTGAACTTTAATTTGATCGATTGTAATTCTGAGGTTTGGATCAACTGTAAGCATTTTCGAGATGAGATCTTGAATTGGAGGTGGAAAATCTGGCATTCTATACCTTCCTGATTTAACTTTGGCCAATAAATTGCGAATTGATGGATCATCAAATGGAAGTCTACCCTGCGTGTTAGTAAATTCGTTAAAACATACATCTGCAAATCATTTAAGCTTAGCGTAACTAAAACTAATAGTACAAAAAAATTATATTTGTTCTAAGATAAAACAAATTACAATTAATTTTCCTTAAGTAAATTAAGTTACGGTAGCTATGTTTGATTTGCGTGATGTATTAAAAAAAATAATACATACTGCAAGTAAAGCGAATAAAATGACGCCAAGAGACCAAATATCTGCAGCTCTTCCATCATATGTGCTTCCCTTTATAACTTCGGGAGCTGCATAATGTGGAGAACCGCAAGATGTTTCTGCAATATTTGAACGCATCCAGCGTGCAAATCCAAAGTCTGCAATCTTGATGTGGTTGAACTGATCCAAGAGGATATTTTCGGGTTTAAGATCTCTATGGCAAATAGCGTGTTCATGTAAATATTCTAAGCCATAAAGCAATTCGTGGAAGAAATGCATTCCACATTCCAGTGTAAGCGATTTTCGTTTAATTAAGAAGTCGAAGAGTTCGCCATTTTCGGCATACTCAAGTACAATATAAAAATGACGATGAGATTCAAAGCATTCCTCAAACTTAAGAAGATGAGGATGATTTAAAAGTCTCATCAAACCGACTTCCCTTCTAATTTTTGTTTCTAATTGGGGCTTTGCTTCGAATAATGATTTTTTTACGATTTTAATGGCATATTGTTGTCCTGATCCTTGCTTTGTTGCAATCCTTACTTTTCCTGTTGTTCCTTTACCTAATGTACGTCCAAGAGTATAGTCTCCAACTTCTTGTTTACGATCTTCAAGCATTTTTCTTGATTGAATAAATATTATACAAAAATCTATCGTTCTGATTTTAAATTCGCTAATTTGAGTCTTTTGCTCTTGTATTATAATGTTTATATCTTGTCAAAATCTTCTATCGAAAGTATTCAATCGATGACAAAAAAATAGATCACCGTCATATTTTAATATAATAAACATGCTATATAATCAAGTTGAAAAAGCTAAGCTCTATTCAAATATGCCATGAATTGCAATCAAACTAAATAATTGTTTTGTATTTGGCTAATTTTGATATGTGGTCATCATTTGAAAATGGTTGCTAATGTATTATTCGCTAGAAATGCTTTTTATAATTTGATTATTTTCGATGAGAGTTTCAACCTCAATTGCTGGCTCAAAGCAAGTTAAGCTATTTTTCCCTAACGATTTATAAACATAAAGAATAGATCAAATGGGTGTAAATTAAATCATATATAAACAGAAATTAATTATTTACAAAACAATATAAAATACATTAGTTATTTATACTTTTTGTGATAGGGTCTTTGATATCGAGTAGGTCATCTACTAGGTCGTCGTCATTCCAGTCAATACCTCCCATCTTTGTATTTGATGGTTCGATAATGTAAAAGAAACCAAATATTGCACCGAGAGCACTAATTACACCATAGAATATGCATGTTGCGGATTGTCCCATGCCTTCTTTCATCCATGGGAACATGAAAACAACAATGAATGAGCAAAATTGGTTGACAACAACAACCATTGTTGCAGCCATTGATCGGACAGAATCTGGGAACAATTCTGGTACAATAAACCATAGAATTGGTCCCAAAGCTAAACCGAAGAAGAACAAATAAAAACAAATAATTACAATCGCAACCCAGTTCGTAAGATTATAAGAAGTGTTTATTGAAAATAGGAAGAGCATAATGGCACATCCTAATGCTGAAATACAGAAAAGTGGCATTCTTCTAAGATAATCCACAGCAAAACCGCAAATGAAAACGCCTAAAAACTGGCAACCCATGGAAATTGTTGATGCAATGCCTGTCGCTAATGGAACACCTGCATCTTCGAAGCTTTGACTCAAATTAGATAAAATTGCATTAATTCCACAAAATTGTTGAATAAACATCATCGTTAATCCAACAACTAGCTTTTCCAAATAGCAATCCTGGAATAATGTATCTTTTTCTCTATGAGTATTAGAATCACTTTCTGATTTTCTCCTATTTGGAGATGTTTCAGGACAAATCCATATTAGACATGCTCCAAGAGCTGAAAAACCTATTCCTGTATAAAATAACGTTTTCCAATTTGCGTAGGTTCCTTGAACGTACATTATTGTAATTCCAACGACGCATCCAATTTGATGTAAGTTCCCAAAAAATCCTCCTAGTTTTGTAGGCGCAATTTCGATTAACATTGTCGGACATAATGATGTGAAACCACCAATGTCTAAACCAGCCAGTGCTCTGGAAAATATAGCTATCCAAAATCTTTCTTTTGACATAAAAAGGGAAAGAACATAAATTCCCGCAGCAAATATATGTAAAAACATAAAAGCTAAGCGCCTTCCGACATAATTTAATGAGAATGTTAGTATAAAGGGACTAAATATAGCGCATAATGATGTTATGATGTTATACCATTGAAGTGCGCTATCTGATTTATTCCAATTATGGAAAACTGTTGTCATTGGAGTTGGCAGGCCAACACTAATGCCAAAATTGAGGCTTCCAAGCATGATAATAAATCCATAAATTAGCTCTCTGCAACAGATATTAGCCATTATTGATAATTAATTCTCTTCTTATTTTTTTGAATGTGTTTCTGAATTGAAAAGGTTTTACACCACATCTAATTGAGTTGCGTTCGCATGTTAAAAGAATAATGAACCCGTACAAAACCCCGTAGTTGTTCAGATGCAATTCAAAATTGAGAAGTATAGAAATTATATTTTGATGATTATTTGATATATGAAGACTGAAATTATTAAATATTGAAACATAAAACAATGATTTTATTTGAAATTTGAATATGCTTGAAAATTTTAAAGGAATTGCGAAAATAATGAAAACAGACTCTAAATTTGTAATCTTGAAAATTTTAATTCAATGAAAAGCGGCAGAAAATTTCTTTTGTTTTCAGAAAGGTAAGTAATATAATCCTTTTACATGAACAATAATAGTAATATAATAAAGCTATACTGTAATGGTTGCAATTTCTAATAAAATATCCAAATTTCTATACCAAATATTTTCAATAATTGTAATTTTGCCATACCATATGCTTGATAGCAATATACTGCGCGAATTATGGATAGATTTAATTGATAAGTTAAATTTAATCCTTGAGATGATGGTTCAAAAATTCGAAAATAAAATAAATCATTTTGATATAAATAAATTCCATTTAAAACTATTAAATGATTGGGGAGAAGCTTCCTAAACTTTTTAATCCCATAAATATGGTCATTATCTGGAATAAAGAGTTAAGCGTCATATGTCACTTTTTGTACTCAGGAAACATCGACTTTATGCGTTATGACTTTTCGATGAGGAAACAAGTGTTCACGTATTATAAACTTCCTTATCCCAATAAATCGGCCCTAAACATAATTAATTTTAAGCATTATAATGGTCTCTTTTCTATGATAACCAAATCAAATTGGTTATCATAGAAAAGCACCAAAAACTAGAATAGGAATCGGCAATATGGAATTATGAAACAACTAGGATAAAATGGATATGGGACATTCATGAATGCATTCACTTTTTTCAAGACTTTTTAATGAATTTCAAATTCCTCAGATTATTTTCAATAGATTTTCCGTACCATATCATTTTTATTAGACAAAGCTATCTTTTCGATGAAATTTTTGCAAAAATACTCTGTTTTGAAAAAGATTTATGTAAATTTTTTGATAAAAGTGTCTTGAATGATTATCATTGATAATACCATTCCAATTGAATGCTGTTTTCGGCTGCTTTTATAAAAATTTGATCATATTGTACTCATAATTTTTTTTTGTATTTTGGTCAAAAACTAAGCTAACATCAGCTGTATATTTGCATAAGCCATTAATAAGCTTTGGTATAGGTTATACTGAGTTTAGACGATCATACAATTTAGACTTTTTTCATTTAATTTAGTCTAACAAAGAGTGATTATCTTACTATTTGATTCATAAATATATAGGAAATAATAGTTTTATACCTTAATATGATAAAATTTTATAAAATTTTCCCTTCTCCTTTGGCAATATTAGTCATTAATAGATATATTTAACATGATGGTTCTAAATATATGAATAGATAAAATTTTCCTTTCAATTTTACGAACCAAATTTATTACCATATCCTAAATTTTTTCTATGTTTATAGACCTTTGGAACTTTGTATGAAGTCTAAATATACATGTAGAGTATTCAAACAAAACAAATATCAAAATCTAAACCTTTGAATTACCTTCAATGCTTAACCGAATTACTAGATCTTATATATATGTGTGTACTAATACCTTTTGATGCATAAAAAACTCCAAAAGAGTTTCATTTTTAAAATAGTCGATATCAATTCAAAAAATTGAAACTATACCGTCAACTGTCAATTTTTCAATAGTTCGTTTTTTTAAATGTAATTGCTTTTTTTATATGCATTAATCATTTGATAGTAGTGGGATCAAATTACATATCTTAAAAATGTATTCCGAGTGGAAAAAAAATCAATAGAATTGACCACAGATATCTGTTTAATCCAAAAATATTATTAGAATCATATTTAATAAAAATGCTATGCTTTTAGAAATAAACGGAAGAATAAACGCACTGTTTCAAACCGTCAAAATTGAATTTGTGTCAAATATCTTGAATTTACAATTTTAGCTATTTAGATAATTAGAGAAGCATTTGATCAATTTTTGTGTTAAACAACTATTTTTCGAATTTCTGAGATATGAAAATTAATTCACTAACTTCTTAAAAACATGAATTGAATGAAAACTCTTAGAAGAAATGTTCATATCACTTTCATTAATGGAGTACAAGGATGATTCCGAGTTCTTGGATGATATCCAGAAGTCCAAAACCCGATCCAAGGAAATCGTGAGAATGCAAATGCACTTAGCTTATCTTGATGAATCAGAGCCCGCAAGTGAAGATGAAAATCAAGCACCAGCTAATGCCGAAGAATTTAAAGTTGTCAGAAAGTTTAGCTTACAAAAATTCCTTGAGGCACACCCAATCTTAAATGTCAAAGACCTTTGTAACTTTCTTTGGATCAACTCTTGTATTTAGTTGATGTTGTTCGCGAGCATGAGTTTTCATCCAGACGCGGTCGGAAAACGGTTGTGATCCATTAGATGCGTTATTCCTAACATTAACTTACTATTGCACTTATCTTCCATTGCAAAAAATGTCAGGAATTGTTAGTTTGAAACAGAGTTACCTCAGCAAAATCATTAACAAAACAACAAACAGGATGTTCCCAATTTTCATTGCTGAATTCATTCCAAAACAATATTCTCCCTGTGACAAGGAGTTCGATAACTTTCCAACATGTGTTGCTGCAGTTGATAGCTCTACTATTCCTTTTACCGTTCCTCTTGATCTTGCTGAGCGTAAAAGTTCATGGGATGCTAAAAACCATTGCAATGGTATGAAGGTTCAAGTTCTTGTTAATCCTTTAGGACAGGTAATTCACATGAATACAAGTTTTTTAGCTTCAGTTCACGATAAGAAAGTATTTGATTTATCAGGAGCTTCAGATTTTTTACATGTCCAACGTGGAGTTGAATCTGTTGCATTAGGACTTCTTGCAGATAGAGGTTACATCGGTATTCAGAAATACCATCCAACAGCCGTCATTATGCAAAGAGGTGATGACGAAGAAGTTACAAAACGCAATAATGCGATTGCACATGATCGCCAAATTGTCGAACGACGCTTTGCACGCGATAAAAGTAATTGGAGTGTCTTGGCAATAGGATATCGTGGTGAAAAAGGCAATCTTCCACTTATTGTTCAAGGATTGTTTGCTTTAGATAACTATCACATCGATTCCACACCTCTCAGTGAGAAGGATAACTGCGATTTTCCTTGCACTCCAAAAGATGAAAAAGAAGCTGCAGCAACACCAGAACCAAATGGTTCAGGAAGCCCAATGCCAAAGCCAAGATGTGTTCCAAAAGATCTTTATCTCCAAACTCCAGAAACTCCAATGAAGATTCCATCTCCACTAGCTGGATATGAAAAGATTGATAAGATACTTGAGTTAGTATACCTAAGTCGTGTACTGAGGCACTGCGCGCCTCCGTACACAACTTAGCTGTTTTGACACTTTACAAAACCAGTAACGTATATTTTACAACACAAACACCAACTTAACCTTAAATATTTATAAAGCCGCCAACCACTTCACCTCACTACTGTAAAAAATAAACGTTCTCACTTACAAAAGTATTGCAACTCTTCCCATTGCTGTGCTTCACACAATAGTTCATATTCTTCAGTATCGCTGCTGTCGCTCCAATCGTCAGAGTCAAAATCACTGTCATAGTTTATACCTGTAAGTTTTGACAAAGCTAATGAAACACGTTTACCGTTTGTATCGTATGCTTGTATAAACTTTCCATTCTTCATTCCTTCATAAACGCTCAAACTAACTTTACCCTTTCTCCCTCGTATCTGATAGAATGTATTTTCACGAGGAACGAAGAACAAATTCTTGAACTCATGACCATTGTAGTTTGTTATCTCAATAGTTTTCGTCATTTACATAAAAATAAAATAAAAAATAAACTTAAAAATAAAATAAAAAATTAATGATATCACCACCCTCACACGTATGAAAACATCCATTTAAATTTAGGTGAAGTGGTGAGATCTCACCTCTTTTTTCACCTGTTTTTTCACCCTGTTGAATTCATTACTTTATAACTCTCTTCCTTTCTCCAACTCTTCTAACTTCTTCTTAAGTTCAGCAATGTTGTCCTCATGAAGTTTAATCTTTCTCAAAATTCCTTCTTTATCTAATGGTTGCTTTATCTTTCTAAACTGAACTCTACCATCCTTCATAGTATGAATGTAAAAACCTTCTGGAATAGTTCCTGATTTAATGTATTCTACCAAAAACTTTTGTTTCATTGCTTCAGTGACTTTATTTGTCATTTCAATCAAATAAAAATTTTAATATTAAATAAAAATAACGTTATTTTTTCAGTAAGGAAACGCAGGAGTTTTACGATTTATTTGTGGTGTAGGTTCTGGTTTAAATGTTGGAGTCGGTTTTGGAGTTGACTTTTGAACAGGAGTTTGTACTTCCATAGGTTCAGGAGTCATTGAAGGTGTTGTTTGTGAAGGCGTTGGTTTTGGCGATGGTGTCGGAGTTTGTTTAACTTCAGCTACTTCAGTATTATTTACAACATTTGCTTTATTTCTTTTCAACATCATTACTGCTCCTGCTGTAGCTAGCAAACCTAGTGGGAGACCATATTTTATATAAGGACTTGACCAAATGCTATTTTTGACAGGAGCTGGTGGAACACCTAACCTTGGTGAGACTGCTCTTTGCCATTGTGCAGCTCGTAAGAAATATTCAATAGGTGCTCCATAATCGTTTGGTAAAGTTTGTTTCATAGATGGTGAAGGTTCACGAGAGCTTGATGAAGAACTCATTTATAAGCTTTAAAAATAAACGTTCATCCTTTATTCCTCACTGTCGTCCGTAGCTAAGTTATAGTCATCTAATCTTATTATGGGGATGCCATTAGCACGCACCTGAATGGCAAAGCAACAATCCCTCATAAATCCAATAAGTGGCTTTGGTACATTTTCAGTTGCTAGTTCAATAGGTCCTTTAACAGACAATTTGTATGTTATTGGAGCAGTAGATGTTTGACCTTGTTGGAAGCAAAAGTCCACTTCTGTTGGAAAACCACATAAGAAATGTGTGTTGTCATAGCTATCCCATTTATGTTCCACACTACCATCATCCACCAATGACCTCATAACATCTTCATTAAATCCAATCATATCATTGTTTGTATTGCAGGCGTTCGCAACCATTTCATAAAATACAGGTCCATATGATTTTTCAGGTTCTGCAGGCATATTTCCATAAGCTCCCATGGAAAGCTGAAGATATTTAAACTTAGGGTTCTCAAAATTAACATAATAGTTGTCTTTCTTTCTAAATAGTGCCCAAATACTTTTAACATTAATAGGCGTATAAGCTGCTGTAAATGTTGCACTTGAACTATCTGTATTCTTTGAGAATGAACCGTCCATAGGAATCCAATCCATAACTTTAACAGGAAAACATAAAGCCTCGTTTGTATAATGTTCTACAAGTTCTGTATAAATGTTAGGGTCTAAAGAGAATGACTTTGGATGAATGAAACATTCATTAAAATCCATCTTTGTTCGAAATAGTTGCTGGGTTACAGTTGTAATAGTAACTGTTCCACTAGCTTCTATTGCCTTCGTTATCATAGTGAATGGTTCATTCCATGGAACAAATTTATTTGTCGGTGGATTTGAATCTGAAGCAAATGCAACTTTAAGAGTTGGATTGAAAGCAATGATATCATTTACAGATATAGATGTGCATTGTAAGGCGTCGCTACTGAACTTTACTTTAAGCTGAATGTTACCAGCAAATGCAGGAATAAATCTTATAGCTTCTAATGGAAGGAATCTTCTAACAGGAATTCTTAAACGAAGCTTAAAATCAAATGATTTTCCTGCTGTAATTGGACCACTAACAATTTGTCCTGTTCTGCATGTTCCCGAATGACTCCATACATCTTCATGTCGAGTCTTTGAGAAAACATCTACTTTCTTTATTTGTTCGGTAGTTTGTGAGTTTGAAGTTATATATGCTTCTTCTCTTGCGTTGTCTTGAGAATATACGATACGACCATTTGCAAGGATTTGATATCCAGCAACTGCATAGAAAGCGTCATCGAAACCAATCCAAAATCCTGGTGGGTTTGTTTTATTGGAACCTGAACCAATTTCTTTATCTACAATAAATTGACCTTCCATCTTATACGTAATGAATGTATTGTAAAGGTCCAACATATTTTCACCAGGAGGTGAGAGATTGAATGTTACCCATGTGTTATCTTTAGCAGTTCCAGGTTGTGATGGAATCTTTGCGTCAGAATATTTTCTATTAGTGTCACCAATTTGAACTGCATTGTCTATGATATCGAAATATGAGCGAATCTGATGAATATGCTCTGCTGGAGTAAATTCGTTTAGCTGTTCGTTCTGCATGTATTTACTTCAGATAAAAATATCTATTTACTTCATTATTCTCACTCTTCTTCTTGGCATTCGTGGTGGAAGTTGTTTCTTGACATTTTCAATGAACTGTACATTCTCTTTTGTCTCAACTTCTTTCACTGGCGGGTCAGGATTCTTTGACTCGGTTTGTTTTTCAATGAAATTCACGAACTTTGCAATAAGCTCTTGGTTCGTTATTGAAAGTACATCTGGCTTCTTTTCTTCTGGTTCTTTTGGTGGCTCAGTTTGAACAGAAGGTTTTATATGGGCTTCGTGGTCTTCACCCTCGGTGCCATGCACCTTAATGTTGTCGCTCTCTGCATTCGCTAATGGAACCTTTCTTTTTCTTACGTATATTTTACCATCTTTACTCTGACTTACGTAATAGAAAGGATGTTGTATTCCTCTTGCGTCATTTAATATAATAGACTCTCGCTCTGATTTTGACAAGCTCATTTTACATCGGTTAAAGTTTTAATTTTGTTTTTTATCTGCAGTCAAATGACTCAGACAAGTCATATGGACAAGACCCAAGGGGTCATAGATGTTGAAGCATTGAAGAAAGAAATTCGCGAGCAAATTTTATCCGAACTGAAGGAACAAAAACAAGAACAAAAGCCAGAGAGACCAAAGAGAAAACTTAGTGAAAAACAACTTGCTGCATTAGCTGCTGGAAGACAAAAGAACCCACGTTTGCTGGCGAAGAAAGCTAGAGAAGAAGCTGAAGCAAAAGCTAAAGAAGCTGAAGCAAAGAAAGAGTAAATGGTTTATTTTTATCCGAATTAAATGTATAGACAAATACCTTTAACTGTTGCGTTCAGTAGTGAAAACCCTGACGTCAAAATAAAGGGGAACAGAGTAACGTTTAAGTTTCCAACAGACTGGATTGTGAACATAAATGAAGAGAAGTACATTGGCATAACATCTATGTATATAACACGTGCTTTTAGAAAGGTTGACTTTATACTTCAAGTCGAGATAGAAAATGACGAACAGTCTTTAAGCGCCCAAAACATTCACATATACAAATACTTTAAAGACGATACAACATTGTTGCAATGTATGATTTCATTTAATGAGATGTTCGAGAAAAAGTTCAACATTGAAGTACAAACTTTACAGCCTTTACGTGAGTTTCTTGCACAACTGAAGGAAGAAGGTAGTCGGCCACAACTTATAGACTTTCATTATGAATTTAATGAAAATGAAGATGGAACTCATGACTGTCAGTTTGTTATATATTCACCATTCAATGAAGTAGCTAAAAAGAAAGAAAATCCATTACGTATAAGGTTTCAAATCTCTGAACCCAATGATGATTTCAAGAATGTTTTCAATTATGATGCAATGCTTCCGAGGAAAAATGAATTTTCAAAGATTGTAACACCTGGCATTTGGGATAGAAAGCAAGCTATATTATATTCAAACTTAAGTAAGGGAGTTGAAAATGAGTTCATTGGTCATACAAGAACTTCACCACTTCCTAACCCTAAATACTATAAATTAACTGGCTTCAATCGTGAGTTTTGGATAGACATGTTCTCCACTCATGACCATAACTGCCCAGTGTTCTTACCTCCAGACCATAAGGACTGTCTCTATATTGAAGCACAACTCTTAAACTCTACCATTGCAGTATTGTAAATGACCACATGGGCTTCGCCCTTGCCGCTAGTTTTATTTTTATCACGAATGACCTCATTGCTGACAAAAATAAATGACCTCAGAACTTCAACTTACGAATAAAGCTTGTTTTAGTCGTTATTGAGAAGTTAAACTTCTCTTCAAAGCAAGGTTGACATGACTTACATAAGTCAAATCCAATCTCTTGACCATCATAAAGTGCTTTATATAACTTCATAACACTGAACTCAGAGTCTTTGTCAAATTTTCCTTGCGGAACCATTAAACCTTTATCTTCATCATAGAAACACTGAACAGAGTCAGGAAACATTTCATTAGCGGTTAAAGCAATAACATCTTGCTTCACGCCTTTCATTCTGCAGTGAAATGCAACTTCATTTAAATCATTCGTGAGTAAGTCTATGTAAGTCTTCTTTCCACAAAATATTGACTTGTATGCTAAACTTTGTTTTCCAGGTGTTATTTCTGCGAAGTCAGAATGAAATTGACCAAGGTTTTTACCAATGAGAACTCTTCCATAACGTTTCTCAAACTCTTCAGCTAAACGAGGGATATCTTCATTGTAGAGATGCATACTGTCCGTATCGCTATAAAAGATGTCCATTCCTAAGTCTTCAGCAGTACAGAATACTTCACACATTATTCTCTTCGACATAGACAGAATGTTAACACCAAGTGGGCAAAAGTTAAAGTGTCTGCAAATGCTTTTGGTTAGCTTGAAAATAGTTTTATCTGAACCATCCAAACCTTCGAACTTCACTATATGGTTGTAGTTTCTTATAGCATATCTTATAGCATCTTTGTCATCTACTATGGTTATTTTTGACTCAATAGGAGATAGAATAGTTTTGCCATAAATACTGTTCAGAATGAGCTTTATATTTTCTTGCAAAGGATTTCCTTCTTTCTTATACTTTAACCTTAACTCAAACAACTTCTTTACTTCATCTCTTATTCTAATATCTCTGTTTCCATCGTAATAGTATCCTTGCAACACTTCACATTTGACACCTTGATATTTTATGAGGTCTTGTAATGTTATATGGTCAACATACATTAAACAGCAAGTGTTTGAACTTCTGGGAACGTTAAGTTCTGGATTTAGTTCAGGGTCACAAACTATTAAAGGAAAGTGTCTATGTATTCCAATCTCTGTTATCTTAATGAGAACAAAGAAGCCGGACATAAACTTTTCACCAATGGGTTCCTTTTGGTCGTCATCGAATAAATGTCTCATGAGATACTCTGTGCTTAACATCTCATCCTTCAATACTTTTGGAATTCCTTCTAAAGTATAAAGTCTGGCGATAGCTGAGGGATATAATGAAACAGCATCGAAGTCAGCAATGAGTTTCTTTTCGCTCTTTTGTTTCATGTTATCTGACAGCATACATCTTCCACCTTGAATACAGCGTGAAATAAATTCTCTTGGTTTATTTGAGAGGTCATATAAATTTCCATTCGGGAAGTACACTCTGTTCTCAAACAATTTGTTAGCAATAGAACAAATACTAACGTAGTCATATACGTTTAAATCAAACTCTTTCAATAAGTCATTGCGGAACTTTACAAAACCTTCTCTTAAAATTCTTACATCTTGTTTGCAGTAAAACGTGCTATATTTTTCTAAGTCGAAATGGTTTTCATCTATTCTGCAACCTTTGATGGAATCTATGTTTTTCATAAATGTATCTGCATCCTTGACAAACTTACAAGCTTTAGAAATGACACCAGTTCTGTTGTCATTTGCTAACAAAGTACTGCTGTAGTAGTTATATGGAAATACTTCTTTCGGTCCTGTTTGTAAGTTAAACATAGCAGGAAATAGTTTAAGTTTCTTATTTATAACACTGTAAGAGTCTTTTATAATAATTGCCCTTCCTTTATATAAGCCAGTTATTTGCATTGTTCGTGAACCTTTAATGATGGGAGTTCCTTTCACTTCTGTCATGTGTCTTAAGATGAAGTTTATATCATAGCTGAGGTTATGGAAATATATTAAACTCTTGTCAGGAAGTCGTTCCAAAAATTCTGTTGCACAGTTCTGACCCCAAATGCTTTCACTCACTGAACCATCTTCACTGTCGTAACATATGTTAAAAGCTTTATGAAAGCCATCGGTACTACACTCAAAGTCAGCAAAGAAAACGTGCTCAGGAATGAACTTGCACTTATTTTTATTTACTTCTTTTGACTCGGCTTTCTTCTTCAGTTGTACACAATACTTTGGAGCATATGTCAAATCTTTAAATGGTGCAAGGTTCTGTTTATATAAGTCAGTCGTATATGTGAAAAGTTCTCCATAAGAAATAGGTTCGAAATATTTGCACTCCCACAATGTTTTCATAACATCCCATAACGGTGTAGTTCTATCCATGCGAACAATGTATTTACCATCTCTCATTGTATATATTTTCATCTGTTTCTCAATGTTCATTCCACCACAAGCTTTGAGAATTTCTTTATAGTTTCGAATGAAATATGTTGTCATTGGAAGTCTTTCATTTAACATGTAGTGGTCTTCAACAAGAAGTAAGTCAATAGTTCGAACAGTTTCACATTCTTTTGGTATGTATCTCTTTATTTCATTATGTCTTGAGTCATTGAAGTAACCAATGGTAACATTAAATGCTATACCTGTTGCGTCAGAAATTTCTTGTACTTTACTTTGAGGAAAGTCTCTAACACGAATGACTTCTCTCATGTGGTCAATAGTTTCTTCATTTACTCCAGCCTGAATGCAAGCATAAACGAAGCAGTTATCTTCTGTCATAAGTGTTGCAGTTCTTTTGTTCAGTTCATTGAAGATTTGGTAGCGTTCAAGATTTATAGGTAATGTGCAAAGATACTTCCAGAACTGACCGCTTCTCTTCTTATAAAACTTCTTTTCACCATTATCTTTCCAAAAGCTTTCTATAAGTGCTGGGTTTCCTGTTTGCTTAAGAGCTTCCAAAATGGCTTTCTGGTCATTTGTCAGTGTGCTTTCATCTCTATATGGTCTCTTTTTTGGTTTGCCTTTCTTTACATCTGACATCGTTAAGCCTTCATATTCTGTTAAATCATACATCTTTATTTCAGTAAGATTCTTTATGTTTGTCAAGAAGAAGTCATAGTGCATTTCAACAATACCTGCAGCATTTGCTTCTATCTCTGATATAAAGTTCTCCTTCAAGAGCTGATGTAGTAATGTTCCAATATTATTGAGGTTTAACGTAGAACATTCATACTTTCCACCAAGTTTATAACATACCATCCATCTTTGTTGGGAGTTTATTTTAATCTTCTCTAAGAGTCTCATGAAAACCTTACCGAAATGTTTGTGTAAGTAGTCTCTGTTTGGTTCATCTAAAGCTTCGATGTTAAAGTCAATGAGTCTATTGCCTGACTTCACATTTCTCTTCCTATTCTCTTCATCTTTCTTTAACCATCTCTCACCTTCTTTTGGTTTGTCGTCAATGGAACGAATGACATCGTTAGCTTTGCGAACTTGTTCTATAGCACTTTTAAACATCTCTCTTCTCTGTTGTTTCAGTGTGTCGTCTCTTCTTCTTGTTTCACCAACGTTCGCATTTGTTATGTCAAACATTTCTCTTCTTACTTCATGTGGTACTGAACGTCTATGATATAAGTCAATAGCAACGTCATTTAAAGGAAATGCTCTTACATGGACTTCGTCCTCGCCGCGTTGCGGCTTTATGAACTCATGAATTCTATCATAACTTATTGCACCATTGTACTCTTTAATGAAGTCAGCGAGTGCTTTTTTGTTTGTTGCGTAATGCTTTGCTACTTCTATGTTAGCTTCTGTAAGAAGTTGTTTTATTTCCGAGTGTTCTAACTTAGACAACTTCCGATACATCTTTAGTAGGAAATAAAAAAATTTCTTAGAAAAAATTAGCTTAGATTTTTTAAGGTTAGTTTTAAAATATTTCAAACTTTTTATTATAATGAAACACATGCAAGATTACAAGTTCTTTTCATACAATGCTCTCGCTACTGCCATCAAGAATGAGTTCAGTAACGCGATAAATGTGAACGTTATATTCAATAAAAAGTCTGTGAAAGGATTATATACATCGTTTGTTAAACCATATGCTATCGTTATTGACAGAAAACGTTACACACCACATGAAATAGCAGTATTACTTAAACATAAAGGAATATATGTAAATATTAAAGATTCTCATTATACGATTATGAAGAACTCTAACGTTGAATTTTTCAGCATTGTTTTAGATTTAACGCAGCAGAAAGAATTCAAGAAAGGAGAAAATGTCGTTAAATATTATCCTTCATCTCTGAGGATGATAACGAATAAAGATACACTCCATAAAATCCTACCAAAGGTTGAAGAAGCTTCTATTGACATTGACGAAGGAAGTGAAATGGTTGAAGAAATTGACCCTGAAGCTATTTAAGCAAAAATATATTTTTGGTTAGTCTTCATATCGACATTTTACAACAATTAAATGGTAAAAACAAAATAAACTTGACGAAGTGAAGATTTGCACTTCGTTTAAAATACACTATTTTTGTGTTATGAGTGACGAAGTGAAGATTTGCACTTCGTTTAAAATACACTATTTTTGTGTTATGAGTGACGAAGTGAAGATTTGCACTTCGTTTAAAATACACTATTTTTGTGTTATGAGTGACGAAGTGAAGATTTGCACTTCGTTTAAAATACACTATTTTTGTGTTATGAGTGACGAAGTGAAGATTTGCACTTCGTTTAAAATACACTATTTTTGTGTTATGAGTGACGAAGTGAAGATTTGCACTTCGTTTAAAATACACTATTTTTGTGTTATGAGTGACGAAGTGAAGATTTGCACTTCGTTTAAAATACACTATTTTTGTGTTATGAGTGACGAAGTGAAGATTTGCACTTCGTTTAAAATACACTATTTTTGTGTTATGAGTGACGAAGTGAAGATTTGCACTTCGTTTAAAATACACTATTTTTGTGTTATGAGTGACGAAGTGAAGATTTGCACTTCGTTTAAAATACACTATTTTTGTGTTATGAGTGACGAAGTGAAGATTTGCACTTCGTTTAAAATACACTATTTTTGTGTTATGAGTGACGAAGTGAAGATTTGCACTTCGTCAATTATGTTCGACATGGAGCGTTTATGGAAACAATTAAATGGTAAAAACAAAATAAACTTACCGATATTTTTTCATTCTTCCTCTTTGAAGTTATCGAAATATTCTGTTATTTTTTCCTTCAGTAATGGTAAGTCTTCTTTGAATGTAAGTATTGTGCAACCTTTGATGTCATAGTGTGTTTGAGGAAGAGTATTTTTGACAATTTCCTTTATTTGCTCATTCGGTGTCATTGAAATCGGTAAGTTTTCACGATAGAACCAGTTTCTGTCAGATTTATATATTTTAGCTAAGTCGTAAAAGCTCTTGTTGTTTCTTCTGACTAAATGCAACATAATCATATCTTTATCTTCTTCTTTCTCCATCTCTTCAGCGTAAATCATATACTTATAGCTTTTTTCCTTTCCTTTTGGTACTGAACGTGGTATTCTTTTCTGTATGCTTTTGTCTTTGGATTCAATGACTTCATCTTTTGCATGAAGTTTCTTTTCCATCTCTCCACGTTCTGCTTTATATAGTTCATCTAACATCATGAAAATATAACAAGCATAACGAGGTGAAGCCCACATTGCTACAGCATTTACTAAAAGTCTATGAATATAATATCCTTTCAAACCCGGAGCCAAATTCTTGCGATTTTCGTACGGAATCTCTTCCCTCGGTTTTCCGAGGGTAGCAAACATATGAGGAAATTCTTCTAAAAGTTCTTTTGTCTGTTGGTTTTCAAACCAATGATATGCTTGCTTTGTAGAACGAAGAGCGTTCATTATACTTTGCATTTGGTACATGTCGTCTTTGACAGAACGAATGAGTCTCAATTGTTTGTTATACTGTATGTATTCGTATTCTTCATTTATGGCTTCATGAACGATAGCAGTTGTTGTGTTCTCTAATGTTGTCATTACTGTCTTTATATTCCGGATAAAAAAATAAATAAAAATAAAACTAACTTTATTTTCTGTGTTAAAGAAATGTTAAAAATTCATGGTTACATATGTGAAAAGAAGTCACGAACAAATGAAGGTCATAAGATTCAGCACATAATTCTGAATTGAATGGTGTGTCATACATGTCAAACCGTCAAGAATTGAAGGAGATACGAGGCTATAAAGATTTTGGATATTTTCTGACACACACCCTGAGGGAAAAGTGACAAAACACGACGATAGAAAAAGTGACAAAATGAGAGAAAGTTGTTCCCCGACCAAAATGCAATCATGTTGAAAAAGTGACATTTGTAAAGTTGGACGATAGGATTTCCTGAAAAAGTGCAAGTCTTGTTCTGAATCAGGACAAGATTTGTCTTGAAAAAATACAAGACTTGTTCTGAAAAAATACAAGACTTGTCTTGAATCAGGACAATTGTTCTCAAATTTGAGAACTTTACAAGAAAAACTGACTAAAAAGTGCAAGACTTGTTCTGAATCAGGACAAGATTTGTCTTGAAAAAGTGCAAGACTTGTTCTGAAAAAATACAAGACTTGTCTTGAATCAGGACAAAACTTTACAAAATGTAAACTTTACATAACCGTTTCTATCGTATATGATATTTAGTTGACATTGTAAACTATCTTCATGTAAAGTATGGCGGTTTGAAACCGTCGGGAACCTTCACTTTTTTGACGAACTTTCCGCAGCAATTTTTAAAATTTGAGAAAACTCAACGGTTTGACACGTGCCATATGTCATTTTACTCAGAATTTTGTGCTGAATTCAGCAAAAATAATTTTAGGTGAAGTGGTGAAATCTCACCTCTTTTCTCACCTCTTTTCTCACCTCTTTTTCACAAGCGTCTTACATGAATTGTATGATGTATATTTGAAATCCTAAACAATTTCGTAGCTTCTATTTCTTCGCTGAGGATATCAAAAGTTTTAACAATGCCGAAAGTCTCTTTATATTTCTTCTTGACGTCAGACAGAAGGAAATCGTCAGCTGTTGGATAGTTTTTGTTCAGAAATGCTAACATGTCCATTTTGTTTTCTGCTGGTTTCTCTGCTTCTTTCTTTAAGTCAGCATAGTCGTTTCGCATACGTTCTATCTCTTTGACAGAATAGTTATATTTCCTTATTGCTGCTTTACATTTAGAACATTGTGGGTTCATTTTAGCATTGTACATTGAAATTTGACCTGCAAGTACAACTATAGCGTCAATGGTTTTCTTTAACTCAAAAGCTGCGGGTTTTATTTGTCCGTTCCATACTTTACCTCTTCTATCTTTATCTCTTATCTGCCATACACATTCAGCAACTAATGAAACAAAGTTGTCGTATGTCTTAAACTCCTCCGATTTATATATGTCAGAAACATTCTTATATACCATATCGCAATCTTTGTCCATAACTTTATGGTTGCAATGATATCCTAGAAACTCATAGTTAACCTTACGTATGAACTTCTTTATTTCAACTGAGTCGGTTGGTCTGACTTCAATTTCATCGAATTCAGGAATAGTGAGCTTTTGTTGCTGGATTTCAGGCAATTTGGGTAAATGTTCCACCAGATCCTCCATTTCATAAAGATACTGTTTATTTGTTTCATCTTTCGCACTACAGTCTAAATTACTTGTTAAAAGTTCTTGTTTGATCTTCTGGATTTCTGTTTCAAAAGTATATGAAGAAGGAATAAAGCTTTTCATCTCTACCAACATTGACGTAGGATTCATGACTAATGAATTTGGTGCTGTTGTTGTGCCGTTCGCGGCTTGAATTGTTGTTGTGCCGATTGTTGAAATCATATCTTTTATACAAAATAAAAAAATAAAAAAAAAAAACTAACTTTATTTTTTCTATCTTAAGGAAATTCATGAAAATTCACGGGGTGAAAAAACAGGTGAGAAAACAGGTGAGATCTCACCTCTTCACCTCAATTATATTTTTGGTGAATTCGATAAAAATAAATGGTTCATTTACTCACAATATTTTTGTACAAAACGACCCCAAACTTTTAACTTCTTTTCTGCAGCTTCTAATGCTATCTTAGCGAGTTCATATTCTCTAAATTCTCTCTTTAAATCTTCTTGTTCCCATTGGTCTAGTTCGTATGGAGAATCTCTATAACCATAACATATCTCACGTTCATGTTCAAATTGTTTTTCGCACATTTTTCTAACTTCTTGTTCGAACAAAGGTTTAGCATTCTTTACTGTATCTTCAAGTTCTTCTTCATCTAATTTCTCATGAACTTTCTTGTCTATGGAGTCCATAATTTTTCCAACTGCTATGCAATATTTTGGAGAAGCCCACATTGCTATATAGTTTATAAGTCTTGGGTCTACATACGTTCCTCTAACCTGTTTGATTTCATCAGGAATTCCTGCATGAATTTTGTATAAAAAGCAACCGCCGGAATTCGGACTGTTGCTATATTCTTCACAAAATGCCTTATAATACTCTTCCCAGGACTTATTTTCCAACAACTTTCTAAAGTCTTTCCTAAACTGCTGACACATATTTGTTGCATTAATGTAACCATCCTTGTCTCTACGTAAGACTTCAATACCGTTATAAGTGCCTTTTGTGAATGTTTCGCCATTATATTTGTTAGTGAATGTTTTTGCTTCGACTGACATTTCTGTTCTTACCTACAAGATAAAAAGTTAGAAAAAAATAAAACTAACTTTATTTTTTCTATCTTAAGGAAATTCATGAATTTTCAAGAGGGTGAAAAAACAGGTGAAAAAAGAGGTGAAATCTCACCTCTTCACCTAAACATTATTTTTGTCTGATTTACATCTAATGAAAAAGTTTAGAAGAATTTTCTTATTCTTTCTGGCATATTTTTGTCTTTCCAGTACTCCCGCTCTAATGGTCCCAGATGTGTTGGCTTCGACTCTCTCAAGTTCTTAGATGGTATAACATCTTCAACGCCTCCTTCATATCTTACTTTATAAGTGTCATCGTTTATGTTGTAGCCAAGTATTTCAATAACCACTCCTCGCTTTGCTTCGTCAATGGTTTCAGCAAGTTTGCCATTACTACTTTCAACTAATTTATGACGAGGATAAAACGCAATAGAGTCGTCAGCAGCTTTTATAAGATATCCATTACCTTGTGTAGAGTCTACGATATAATAGTTTCTACTTAACCTTAAACGTTTCTTTGTCAATGGTTTGTCGTCAAGAACTACACGAACTTTTGTACCAGGAATGAGGGTAAATTGTGTTGAATTTATGATATTTTGTGTTTGGCTTCGTTTCTTTTGTATATACTTTTCTTCTTGTTGTTGTGTCATTGAATTTGGTGTATGTCCTGTTGTAGAATGTGTTGAGGAATTATATACTTCGAGAAAATGTTTCATTGTTTCTTCGGTAAAGTCTCGCTCTTGGTTTAAATCTCTGAGAGTCCTTATGAAGCGGTTTATGATGCCGAGTATGTTATGGTTATGGTCTTCAGTAGTGTAGTGAGTTATGTTATGCTTAATGAGAAATTCTGTGATTTCATTGCTGAGGTATGCACCGTCTTGGTCTGATGTTAAAGTACTTGGGCTATGTTCTGCTACAAACTTTTGTAAAACTCTTAACACTTCATGAGTTCCTTTATTTTTCATTGGATATGCATATGCTTTGCGAGTGTTAACATTAATGAAGATGAGGAATGGTTTATGTCCTCCTTTTCTGCTTTGAATGAGAGTGTCAAATTGGTATGCGTCAGGAGTGTTGGAGTAAATTGGTAAAAAGTAGTCGTAAGGGTTTATTTTTGTTTGATGTACAACATTTTTGTCAAAGAACCTTTTCACTTCAGCTCTGTTAGTAAATCCCCAACTCTTTGCAGCTTCATTGAATTTCTTAAATGACCTCCATGGATGTTGTTCGAATACTTCTTTCAAGCTCATTTATGTAAAGTTAAAGATTTTATTCTAGGCTCAAGCGAGTTCATTGAACGCGGTACCATGCGAATATAGTCACAAATGGTGGCATGTAATCTTTACCCAAGCCTGTTGGATTTGTTGTGAAAGTATGGACATGATTTCCTCCCGGTTCAGTTTGTCGAAAAATCTTTTTTGCTGCATTGTTATAAGATGGAGATAAAACGTCATTGCCAGCTTCATACTCTGAGTTGTATAATGGGTGGTCTCTTAATGAGTGGCTATGGTCGCCAGAAAAGTTTGTAGTTCCTGTATGAGTGTGCGGTGGAAGGTTTGCTTCTTTAATTTTCTTTGAACCACCCGTTTGCTTTGAAGAGTTAGCACAGTATAAGAATTTGTCTACAATCTGCTGCCATGTACCAAAACCTAAAACTGTTTCTGGATTTGTTGAGTTCATTGACGTATAAATAGAACCAATGGGATATAATGTTTGAAGTATTTCTGTCTTTAATGTTTGAAGCTCTGTTTTGTCTGCTTTCTTATCTAACATTGTTGGTAGTTCATATGCTTCAAAGTTTCTGGCATGATCTTCGATATTCCTGCAACTCTTATCTAAATTGTTAAGAGTATCTTTTACGCTTGTACTTGGATTCTCTAAAGGTGCACTTGAACCAAGGTCAAAGTTCAATATTATGTCGTCTGCTCTAACAGTAGTGAAGGATTTATGTGTATGGTTCTTGTCAGCTTTCTTATCTAACATTGTTGGTAGTTCATATGCTTCAAAGTTTCTGGCATGATCTTCGATATTCCTGCAACTCTTATCTAAATTGTTAAGAGTATCTTTTACGCTTGTACTTGGATTCTCTAAAGGTGCACTTGAACCAAGGTCAAAGTTCAATATTATGTCGTCTGCTCTAACAGTAGTGAAGGATTTATGTGTATGGTTCTTGTCGGCTTTACTGTCTAATGTAGCTTGAAGTTCATTTATATCGGAGATGCTGTGTTTATGAGATTTCAAAACTTTGTTCATTGCTTCGAGTTCAACTTTGTCAGCTTTACTTTTAATAGCATCTTCAAACGTTATTTTTGACTTAACTCTCAAAGTAAATCTTGGTTCAACTAATACACCGTTAACATTGAAAGTAGAGGCATAAATTTCACCGGTATAACCAAATGCTTCTGGTGCTTTAGCTACATCATACTGTACAGTACAGCTTATGTCATAACCTTTAGCACGAATGTATTTATATCTTCTTTCATTAACATTTTTTGTCTTCGCTTCATCACTTCGTGTTAAATATCCATGGTAGTCCGTTATAATCTGTTCGTCTGAAGTTATATAATGAACGTGGTTCTTGTCCGCTTTACTATTTAATGTAGCTTGAAGTTCATTTATATCGGAGATATTGTGTTTATGAGATTTCAAAACTTTGTTCATTGCGTCAAGTTCATTTTTGTCCGCTTTACTATTTAATGTAGCTTGAAGTTCATTTATATCGGAGATATTGTGTTTATGTTCTTTATCTGCTTTTTCGGCTAATTTCTCTTCTATCTCATTTATTTCAAGTTCATGCCTACCACCACCTCCCGAAGAAGTATTTTTCTTCAGCTCTTGAAGAACGTCCACTTCGCCATCTTTGGTGTCAATAATGAGACTTTGTGTTAAAACCTTTCCTGTCTTAATGGATGTTTGTAAAACTTCTTCTTCACCGTGTTCGGGGTCATGGTCGTCATCATATCTTGTGAAATCAGAGATGTTGTCATACATTAAGCATATCTGTCTCAAAAGTTCTGCTATTTGAAACTGGAACGAAAGATATACAGAACTTTCATCATCTCCTAAAGTCAAGTCTGCTTTCTTAAGTATTTCTTGAATGTATGCAATGAGAACAGAGTACCTTGGAAAATATTCGAACAATATTTCATTAGCTGTTGGTTTTGGTGGTTCTTCTGGAGTTTCTGTTGTCAGTTCCTTCTGTAGGTTCTGTTGGAGTTTCTGCATCTCTTGACTTCAATGCTCTTGCTCTCAAAGACCTAAATGTTAGAGCACCAGGTTTTACAAAGGACTTTATAAATGCTTTAATAGTTCCTGGTAAGTTATTGTTAGCATTAAGTAAGTTCCTTATGCTTCCATCATGTACGTCCATAGCACTATGTAAAAAATCTATACTTTTCTTGTAGTCAGCAATAGACTGACTGTGATTTTTTAAAGATTTGTCAATACCTTTAAGCCAATCTTCATGCATGTCTGATACTGAGCCAAGAATACCATTTGCTTCCTTTAGTGTATTTTGTGCTTCTCGTAAAGTATCCAATCCCGTACGTGCATTGTTTGCTATACGTCTTACAGTATCTATTTGACTCCTTGTTTCTTGCATCCAACCAGATAAAGTTTTAATAGTATCCGAACCATTTGAAATGAAGTTCAAAGCATTTTTAACGTCATCTAAAGCTTCTTCACCAAGTACTGCCCATATCTTTCCGATTTGGTATTGAAGAACTCCATATGAAGCAGCTGTTAAACCAGTATTTATAAGGTCCCATATCCATGATTTAGCAGTTTTTCCATCCTTTCCATCCTTTCCATCCAAACCGTTTTCGCCTTGAGGTCCTTGTATTCCTTGTATTCCTTGTATTTCTTGTGGTCCGGTGTCACCCTTCTCTCCTTTCAGTTCATCTTTATGTTCGTTATAATATTCTAATGTCATAAGGTGTACATCATTACTGCTACCAGCAACGCCGAGAATTTGTTTCTCATTCATGACTAAATTCTTTAGGCATTTAATGTTGTCGTCAAATCGAAAGCTCTTTAACAATTCAATGAGAACATTCAGTACTTTCACTAATGAGGCATCTACTGTAGAATTTATATATTGCACCGTTCCATCATTTATGATAGGAACTTTACTTATTGTAATGAATGGGTCATAAGTGTTAAAAGTATCGAAATCAATGACTTTTTTAGTTTTTCCATCGTCAATGACTAAATCATTGCCTTCAATGGTTAAAGTTGAGTTTTCGTTTACTAGTTCATGTGCTCTTCTTGCTTCATTTGTTTCATACGCATATGCAGCAATAGTCATATTTTAATGAGAATAAAATGTTGTTCTATTTGCAAAGTACAGACCCAAACGAATACGGGACAGTAAAGCTACAAACAAACTTAGGTCTTCAGAATGAGGCGCTTGCTTTCAGAGTTGTTGACTTCAATACTATCGCAACTTTTGTCATAACAGATGAAACAGATTTCATAGAGATTGAAATAGATGACAAAAGAAGTTTTATAACATTTCCTAACAGAGCAGAGTATAGAATAGATAAAATTGCTGGAGTCATAGATACTCTCATAAATGAAGAAACTATTGACAACATAGATGTCGAACTCTCTTCTGAGGGAACATTGAAGTTCAGTAGCAAGAAAGAGTTCAAGATAACACGAATGAGTCATAGAGTACAACTTCTTTTGGGAGCATACCATATGACATTTCCTTTGAAAAGTGTTGACAAAACGATTGAGATGAAATCTGTTCCATACGTATGTTATGGTAATTGTTTGTACATTGAGTCTAAAATAGCTAATGTCACAGGCATTTCAGGAGTTAATAGTAAAGGTTCAGTAGAATATAAGTCTTTCTGTTATGCAGTCAATTCAATGTTCATTCCAAACGTTCCTGTCATAGCAACTCATTTAGGTAAATGAGTTCGCATTAGTCCTCATAATTTGAAAGACATGCAATTCAGACTTGTTGACTTTCAAGGAGAGCCTGTAGAACTGAAGGCACCAGTGCGAATGACTGTTGAAGTTGACTTTTTAGAAAATATTAAATGCAACAGCTTACAAGAGAACTCAGAGCTAAAAATATAAAGTATGAATGTTATGTATTAGGTCATGAACTTTGGTTGTTGCTGTTTGATGAAACAAATGAATTAGTTATGTCAGTCAAGAGAACAGAAAAATATTGTGTTAGTGAAAACTGCACCAAGTCAATAAGATTAGGTTTGCATTATGAAGATGAGTTCGATACTGTTGAAGAAGTTTTGGATAGATATTACAAATTGCTTTAATTTACTAAAACATATTTCAAGCAAAGTTTATATTCTGTTGAAAGTTTTGTATACTCGTTCGAATATTTATACTTAAACTCAACTCCTGGAGTACCTGGTGTTTCAATGATGCGGATGTTACCTATTTTCATGAATGGTGGCGTTTGACCACAGCATTCGATTTCAGGGTCGAGATAGTCAATGACACATTGTTTCCCTGTTATTCGTGATATAACATTTTCAAGGTCCTCCTTTGTTAGAATTATTTGGTTCTTACTTATAAGATTTATCAAAAGCTTCTTATCGTCTTTGAGTAAGATAGTTTGGTATAACTGAAGAAGGTAATGGTCTACGTTATCTGAAGGATTTGTTTGAACATTTATGTAAGGGTTGTCGTTGGCTTCTCTTGAAAGAATTTGGTCCAGTGGTGGATACTCTAACTTAACATCTGATGTAGCGTTTGCACTTGAAGCTGAGTTTAAATTCACGGATTTCAGTTCTGGTTCTTTTTCTTTCAAACACTCCGAACTATAGTTCTTTATGACAATATTGTTTGTCGTTCGTGAGTCAACATTTGATGTTGGTTCAATTGGAACATTAACGGCACCAGCTAAGATGGATTTGCTTCTCATTTCATATAGAATAAAAACCTTTTATATGTATGAAATGAACAATATACTCGACAAGGGTTTGAATGTAAAGCTAACGAATGAAAATATTGTTGAATTCACCGAGACAGGTGTTGTGTATAAAGATGTAGAACTACTGAACAAAAGAGCAAAGGGAAGAAGCAGGAATATGAACAAAGGGTGGAAACCTATAAAAATTTATGTCAATGATGGCTCAGGAGGTTCAAACATAAAGTATGCAGAAAGTTATAGAGTTTATGCTCTCAAAGGTGAAAAGCCTTCATTTAAGAACAGCTATTCTAACGCATATCCTCAAAAGCTAACGGATGGGGAAGTGGATGATATGAATGACAGCAAAAATATTAACAGAAATGGCGACAGAGATGCATGGAATTTTTTACCATCAGTCAATTGAAGGTTAAACTTTAAAACAATGTTGGTCGTTCCCATGGAATATTTTTGACTTTAATGGTATTAGTCCATGATATGAATCTCAAGGTATGAACGAGGAGAGATGAGAGACTTATATGCTTCCCAAATTTCTTCAAAAGGTAATGTTATACCTGACTGTTTCCAAATGAGTTCAATATCATAACGTGAGAAACCTTGAAAGATAACGAAGTCAGTTATGAGACGTTTTATGTTTAAAGCAAGGAAACGCCATGTTTGCATAAGTATTGCTACAGTTAAATGGTAATGTCTGACTTTAGTTATGATGTTAGCTAATGGTGAGTCAGGCTTTGACACTAAACCTTTTCGCGAAGTCGTCACAAACGAGCAGAGTATTTGAAGGATACTTTTTGAGAGGGTATTTTGGAAAGTTTTGACAGAATGTAGTTTGTCAGTCGTTTCATATCGTAAACTCCTGAGTACTGACGTAAGTGGTGTTTGTCAATAATTCTTTCCATCTCTTCTGAAGTCTTTTGCATTCCTGACTGTATAAATTCAACGATGGCATAATATTTCTCTTACGTCGAATGTAACGTTGAAGAAATTTCAATGACTTCACTGTCTGGAAACTTTAACGACAGAGCTTGAACTCTTACTCATGAATGTTTTTCGCTGTTGAGTCCATAGAGTCTGAAGTTGCTGATATAATGATTTGGTCATAGTAAGAGTCGTTTTCCTAAACGCTCTGTTATGAGTATATGACGAATGAGGTTGAATGTCTTTCCTGACCCCATCTTTCCACAATAGAAATAAACACCATTTTGAACAGAATTCATAATCTTTTGCTGAAAGGAAGAATAAGAGAAGAGTTAAGTTTGTCTGTAGTTTCATTCATGTCTTCATCTACGTCATGTATTAAATGCTTCATTTTATCTCCATTAAAAATGCAAGTCAGAAATATTCAGAACATAGCACCGAGTCTAAACTGACAAGAGTATAAAGATATACTATGAACATGTTATGATGAAACCAACCAAAATTCAAGAAAGTCAGTATACTTATGAATATCCAAGACACTGGGTAGAGTATGTAGGAGGTGAGAAAGCTATTGAAATAAGACAAGTTAGAAAGTATTCCAGCAGGAAAGAACAATATTATTGAAGAACTTTAATGTTTTGGATATAATGATGAAACAAAGAAGCAAGATAGTTTTCCTGTTGCTGTGTATGTGAACTTAGATACAGGAGATGACATGAAAGTTTTTAACACAAAGCTTCAAACGGTAGTGAGAGAACAACTTACTGCAGAAGGACACCCATTACCTTCAGAAGTTACCATAGCATATAATTTTGAAACAAATGCAATAGATTTTAAAGTCGTCTCTGCAAAGAAGTCAGGTTTTACATTTAATGAAGCAGATGTATATTCAAATGAAAACTTCAAAGCTATTGCATGGTTAGATAATGACGATTGCTTTAAGAAAATATTTAAATAAGTGACTCAACGATGTCAATAGATGACCTTCGTGGAATGTTACCATCGACGTTTACAGTTTGAAGGTTCAGCAGGATTGCTTACAAGATTGTCAATTGGTGGCGTTTGGTCTCGTGAGAACATTGTTATAAAATCCAGTATAAGTGAATTTGCCGAAGAATCTATATTATGTCTTTCAAACTATATGTATTCGCCGCCGAAGCATTATAGTATAACAAACTTTGTCAGTAAGTTTAACATAAGACTTGTCGAACCTTCTTCAATGAAAGATGTTGTGCTACTAAAGATGGAAAGGATGGACTCATTATTGAGATGATTTTAATAGCATATTAAATGAGCTTGTTCTTGAAGGTCATTCATGATGAAATAACTGTTGTAGAAGATGTTAGCAATTGTTCAGACATTTTGAAGTGTATAGATGATATAAGAAAGAAGTTAGATAGACCGCAAAGCTGTGAGGGCGAAGCCGTGAGAACGCTTATGTTTCATTGACTTTCTCCAGTAACGAGATCTTTTATGAGATAATATTGAAGAGAGATGATTTTAATATGGTGTAAATGGTAGCTTGGGCAGCTTTAGGCGCAATGGGAACAAAAGCATTAGCATTTGGAGCAAAAGCACTTGGAGCTTATGACGCAGTAAATAAAATGAGTGGAGGAAGGGTTTCAAAGATATTAGATGCAAATAAAGGAAAGATTGGAGGCTGGGTTGCAAAGAAGTTAAGATTAAATAAAATAGGGCTCATAAATAAAGCATCCAATTTGGTTGCGACTGAGTCAGAAAATGCTTTAGGAAAGGACGATGAGTTTGCAAAACACGCAAAAGACTTTAATGACCAGATGAAAGGTGAAACAATGCATTTAAATAGATTCGATGGAACTAAAGAAAATGTTTCTTCTCCACCAGTAGTTCTTCCGTATGGTCCCTATGGAATGTATGGAAACCCTTACGAAAGACCATTTGACCCATTGACTGGTGGAAGTAATTGGTATCATTATGGACGAAGAAGAAAGACAGTCAAGTTGGAGACAGACGTGAAGAAAGCAACTAAAAAGAAACCAAGGAAGAGAGTTATAAAGCAATGAATTCAACAGGGTGAAAAAACAGGTGAAAAAAGAGGTGAGATCTCACCACTTCACCTAAATCTAAATGGATGTTTTCATACGTGTGAGGGTGGTGATATCATTAATTTTTAACGTTTATTTTTTATTTTATTTGGATGTAAATGACGAAAACTATTGAGATAACAAACTACAACGGTCATGAGTTCAAGAATTTGTTCTTCGTTCCTCGTGAAAATACATTCTATCAGATACGAGGGAGAAAGGGTAAAGTTAGTTTGAGCGTTTATGAAGGAATGAAGAATGGAAAGTTTATACAAGCATACGATACAAACGGTAAACGTGTTTCATTAGCTTTGTCAAAACTTACAGGTATAAACTATGACAGTGATTTTGACTCTGACGATTGGAGCGACAGCAGCGATACTGAAGAATATGAACTATTGTGTGAAGCACAGCAATGGGAAGAGTTGCAATACTTTTGTAAGTGAGAACGTTTATTTTTTACAGTAGTGAGGTGAAGTGGTTGGCGGCTTTATAAATATTTAAGGTTAAGTTGGTGTTTGTGTTGTAAAATATACGTTACTGGTTTTGTAAAGTGTCAAAACAGCTAAGTTGTGTACGGAGGCGCGCAGTGCCTCAGTACACGACTTAGGTATACTAACTTACTTGTTAAAAGAACACAAAATGCAATCTACAACATCGAAACAAAAATATCAATTCCAGGATTACATAATGAGGGAGCTACCTGCCATGTCAATGCCGTTTTGCAAGTTTTGTTCTACGTAAATACTTTCAGAAAAGATGTAATGGAGCATTTGGGAGATGTCGGATATACGCCAGTGAAAGCACTTGCCGAAATTTATGATCAGATGTTGCACTACCGCCACAAGGAATACACAATTTCATGCTCACAATTCATCACAACACTCGGCAAGCAATACTTCCAGCAGCAAGATGCCGATGACACATTTCAAAAGATTGTACATGATGTTACGGAATCAGCAAACAAACCAGATATTGCCGTTACATTCCAATATCAAACTGAGACTCCTGATGAAAGCTTCTATTCGGTTTCGCTTCACATTCCTCTTGGTGCAGCAGGTATTGATCAAGGAATTAAACAGATGTGCACAGATGATTCTCATATCAATGAAATCTCAACATTCCTCTGGGTCGACGTTCAGAGGAATTGGTCTGATCCAAATGTCTTCTTTGACAAATTTGAGATCAAGAAGAACTACAAAACTCAACTCAGTGATGGAACGTATGTATTTAAGATACATTCCATTATTGCTTATCATCAAGGTCATTTCGTTGCCTTCGTCAACAAAGGAAGAGTTTGGTTCATGCTCGACGATGAAATTACTTACATTGTTCCTGATGGTTTGATCCAAGGTCTTCAAGGTGGAGATGTTGGCAGCGATTTGTGGTCATATCTTGGTGGTGTCAAATGGCTTGCAAAATGTGTCATCTATCGCAAACACAAGTTCTATGGAGCTGGTGATGATGATTGAAAACAGTTTAATTTTTTTTAATCTTATTATAAGGGATAATTCTCTAAATATATGATTTTTTCTTAAGTTAGTGAATATTTTTCTTGTGTGCTTTTACTTATTTAAGTATTTAGTATTATTACTTAAAAATTTTGAACATTTATTTTATAATATTGAGATTTAAAATAAACTATTGCTCGATCGTATCTTTATTTGCTCTTTTAATAAAAAATCTAACTTACTATTGATTAGATATTGATTTAAAAAAAATAATATAATAGCATAATAAAATTTCTTTATTTCCCCGTACAAAGATATAGCCGTAACAAGACATTAACGTCTGGAAAGTAAATTTGAAAAAAAGTATTATATTATAAAAGAAGTTACAAATTTTTAGAATATTTTTGTAAAATAAGAGCAAAAAGTAGAATGCAAACTCTTCGGGTACAAAAACCTGCCATTAAATTGAGATAAATAATAGATTTTGTAAAATTTTGTTGTAATTCTTGTATCAGTCTTGCCTTGAGTATGGGTTTGAGTCTACCCTTGTTTCCATATTGCCTATTCCTGTTTTAACGCGGCTATTCCTATTCCAGTTTTTGGTGCTTTTCTATGATAACCAATTTGATTTGGTTATCATAGAAAAGAGACCATTATAATGCTTAAAATTAATTATGTTTAGGGCCGGTTTATTGGGATAAGGAAGTTTATAATACGTGAACACTTGTTTCCTCATCGAAAAGTCATAACGCATAAAGTCGATGTTTCCTGAGTACAAAAAGTGACATATGACGCTTAACTCTTTATTCCAGATAATGACCATATTTATGGGATTAAAAAGTTTAGGAAGCTTCTCCCCATTTTTTTCAAAGCAATCTATCTTGAAATTGTTTAATTATCTAAATTTCTCTATATCTTCTTTAATACGAGGTATGTCGCACCCAATGAATTCATCAAGAACTGTATACGTTTTTGCATCCTTTTTAACGAATAAAATTCTTGGAATAAGAGTAACACCGAATTCTGCAGCTAAATCTTCATTTTCATCAATATCAATCTTAATAATTGTTACATCTATATTATTTGATGCAATTGATGGGAGAGCCATGCTTAATTTTCTACATGGGCCGCACCACGTTGCAGAGAAGTCAATAAGTACAAGATTATCATATTCTCTAATTTTTTCTGTTAGCCCAAGCCTATCACCACTGAAATGCTGTATTAGATCAGCCATAGTAGCGTTGATTTTGTAATTAAAAATAGTGCTATCAATTTTTAAATAGTTTCAATTTTTGAATAAAATATTTTTCTTATTTTCAATGCTGTAAAATTAAAATCAGACTAGAATTGTTTTCTAGCATAATTAAACCGAATATCTAAATTTTATTATTGAATATTTTACAAAGGCCTTCTCAAAAGATGGATAGTAGAAAAATGGCAAGTAAACAAATATAAACTGATCATTTAGAGTATCTAATCTTATTCCTGATAATTCTACAAATTAGAAAAAATGGTTTCTTCTGAAAATTTGTTAGAAATGAATTTTTATTTGCAAATTATTAACATTAATGTCCTTAGTGTAAATTTTTTTATTACAGGTTGTCAAAAATTGAAGACAGCTTTTGATTCATAAATAAAAAATTAAATCGAATCGATATACAAATAAAGGAACCTATGTTCCAAGAATGATATACTGTGGGGAGAAGCTTCCTAAACTTTTTAATCCCATAAATATGGTCATTATCTGGAATAAAGAGTTAAGCGTCATATGTCACTTTTTGTACTCAGGAAACATCGACTTTATGCGTTATGACTTTTCGATGAGGAAACAAGTGTTCACGTATTATAAACTTCCTTATCCCAATAAACCGGCCCTAAACATAATTAATTTTAAGCATTATAATGGTCTCTTTTCTATGATAACCAAATCAAATTGGTTATCATAGAAAAGCACCAAAAACTGGAATAGGAATCGACAATATGGAATCACGAATCAACTCTAACAAAATGAAATTGGAAAATTCTTGCATCCATTCTTTATTTATGCAAAATTTAAATTTCAAACAAAATTCTCGTACTATTCTCAATAAGATTTGCGGAAACTTATTATTACTCTTATACGAAAGAAGATTTTTCATGCTAATTTTATCGAAGAACTTTATCTTGCAAAATAAAATACTCATTTCCTAGAAACTTAGACTAAAAACGGTAACAATGAATAAACTTCAGTCTAAAAATTAAATTCGTACTATTGTAATTAAATTCTTATCTTTATAAAAAAATATCATTTTTTTTTCCAGTGAAAAAAAGATGTGACTTTTATTGATTGATTGTTTGTAAACATTGCACTTTGAATAAGTATATTTTGTTTAAATTTGCACTTGGAATAAATATACAAAACAACACTGAAATTCCAGCTACTTTTCAATACTAATCATTTTTAAACATTCATTGTCCGTTGATTAGTAAGGCAAATGTTCGATTTTGAGCATGCATATTCAGTGAATGAATGCATTAATTAAAATCAATGAAGGAAAGGGGATAAAACATGAATTGCAACTATGTTGCTATAAAGATATATGTCTCACAAATTGTTAGAATAGAGTTCTTTCATAATGATTGAATATTCTTTCCTATTTTGGTTATTACACGGAATTTCCTTCCTAAACATATAATGTCTTCCTTATAAAATGACTTGCTTTCTTTGAAAGCTAGTATATTTTAACATTTTTGAAAATTTTTATATTTTTTTTAAGTTTTTATTAAAACAATAGAGATTTAAGTATATCCCCTCTAAAATAAGTGTTAATAGTATAAAATCAGGTGAAATTTGATCTAATATGAGTAAAAATGTAAAAAAGAACACACTCATTTTGCATGTAAAGAAATAATCAGAGTTATTCAATAACATTTTACGTATTAAATTATGGAATTACGATATCTTTTGAACAAAATTCAACGTAATTAGCAGAATGAATTTAAAAAATTGCTAAAAGAATGATGTACATTGATCATGCATTAAAGTATCTTAATAAAAATGCAGTAATATACAATGATGAGCAAAGCAGATTTGAATCAGAAAGAAGATTTGCTTAAAAAATCAGTTGAGTCTTCTCTAGTTTCCATATTGCCTATTCCTGTTTAAACGCGGTTATTCCTATTCCAGTTTTTGGTGCTTTTCTATGATAACCAATTTGATTTGGTTATCATAGAAAAGAGACCATTATAATGCTTAAAATTAATTATGTTTAGGGCCGGTTTATTGGGATAAGGAAGTTTATAATACGTGAACACTTGTTTCCTCATCGAAAAGTCATAACGCATAAAGTCGATGTTTCCTGAGTACAAAAAGTGACATATGACGCTTAACTCTTTATTCCAGATAATGACCATATTTATGGGATTAAAAAGTTTAGGAAGCTTCTCCCCTGTTACTTAATATTAATAATTACATATTTATCATTTGTGTTTTCTTGACAAGTTTTTGCTTTAAAACATCAATTTTATTGTGACATTAAAATCATAATGGCAATACTGTAACTAACTATTCTTTTCTTATTCACCAACAATAAATTGTGTTGAAAATTGTTTTAAAAATCAAAAATCCATGATTTCCATAGGATATTATATGTTTGATTGCATGTTTTACATCATATAAATATTATAATGACATAATAACCTAAAGAACTAATTATTTAAAAATGATTTTACGATTTACTACATAAAGTTTATTTATTATGAAAAATTGCATTATATAATGCAATTTTTCGATATTGCGATTGCATACCATCACCTTATCGACGAAGTCCATACAGGCAAATACCGCCAGCTTTTCCACCCAGAGCAGCTCATATCCGGCAAGGAAGATGCTGCTAACGACTACGCTCGTGGCCACTACACAGTTAGTAAGGAAATCATCGATTTCACACTCGACCGTATCCGTAAGCTTGCTTGCATCATCCAAATGTTCCAGTCGATAGATGAGATTTGCACATATTTGTTAGCATTCGGTAGACATTCTAATCTTGAATTTTATATATTACCCTTTTTTCCTGATTTGAGTTATTCTTCCACCAAAGATTATCAACACTATCCCACTAAACATAGATATTGCTAAAAAGATGAAAATCAAAAAAATAAACATAATTTTTTAACAAATAAACTCTAATCTCTTTTCGTTGAAATTTGGGACCAAACACCATTTAACTCGCTTGCTACTTGTCCATAATCATGCTCGCTTTGCTGCATTGCTGTTCTCATTAATGACATTACATTATCTTGATATCTCTTCATCTCAGCAATTTGGGATCGTATCTCTTCAACTTGAGTTTCATCTTGAGGAGTATTTTGGATGATCTGCAACTGAGTTTTAAGCTTTTTGATTGCTTTTGTATTTTTCTTGTTACTTTCTGAAATTAAAGTTTCGAGTTTAGAAAACCTATCTGTAAATTTCGATTTTGACTCTTCAATGAGTGCTTTAATAGTAGATGTTTTATCATTCTTAGAATATTCTTCAACCACAGTCTTTGTGACCATGTCTTGGATACTGTTAAGTTGATTTTCAATAGCGTCTATTCTTTGATTTAATTTGTTTGCATATTGAGAAACATTTCTAATTTGCTCTCTTCTTTCTTTATCTTTGATTGTATTTGATTGGGCTGCTAGTCTAAATATTGAATCTGATGCGTTTAAACGTTCTTCAATCGAATTAATTCTGTTAAAGATTGGGTCGAAAACGGTTGTCAATGATGGATCTTCAATGTTAGTTGATCTTAAAGGAGCAGTACTTCTATTACGATTTACTGTGTCTAAAAATACGCTGGCTTGATGATCAAATGAATTTTCCATCATAGTGTACGTTTAAAAATTTTAAAAATACAATTCAAGAATGTTTTGTGGGTCTTTTACTTATTAACATATGCCGTAACTGAATTTGAGCTAAAATAAATGCTACTTATATTGATATTCGACTCAATATATTGGGATTCAAAATTGAATATTAAAAATATTAATGTTAAGTCAGAAAATATAATTCGCTTAAAGAGATCCATGCTTTAGTGGTCAAGTTATTTATCAGATTTGAATTTTATTTTTTCGAAAACAAAGGAGAGAAATTATTCAAAAAACGTATATACCTTTCTCGAGTTTTCAGTAGTTTTGTGTTTTTTTACATAGCAATTAGAAATTAATTAAAAAAAATTGATTTAACATACAAATTTTCTCTATTAATTTAATGGCGATTAACATAATCTTTGATGATATTCTGTGTGCCAGGTTTAAGCTTCTCAAAATCAATTGTATCATTTGGAATCGTTCCTGGTACGATTCCTTCTGTTTCTTTGAGTAATTGGTAGATGTCCTGTCTAAACTCAACATCAGAGAGTGAGTTGTTTAATTTTTCTACAGTAGGAGTCACGTCAATTGGTTTCATAGGTTCTGTAACCGAATCCATCTTCTTCACGTAGCTACTAAGATTAGATGATCGTCTAGATGAGATTGGCATATTTTGCATAATTTCTGTAATCTGATTTGATTTTTTAATAACTTTATTAAGCCATTCTTTATCACTTTTGATAAGCATGTTCTTGTACTGTTTCTTGAATTTCCATTGTAAGTATGTTGCCAGGATACCAATTTCCTTGGTACCAACTGGCGATTTATAATGGTATTCGATAGCATTTTGGTACATACGATTTATATCATTGTACCATTCTGCTGGTGTAGAATATTTTTTAGATTCTAAATTTGCTTTAATAACCTCAAGAGCGATTGGCTTAGAAACGTATTTAGAATATTCAGGAAGGCTGGCATCATTAAGAAATACCATGGTATGAAAAATTTCATGAAATGGATCCTTTAGGAATTCCGCTGTAGCCTCAAAGACTTTTTGATAATCTTGTTGCTGCATTTTTTTGAAATAATCGTTTTTGTCACAATTTATTGCAAAAAAATCGAAACTCATTATTGACTTAACTGTGAAGAACATCAATGCTGATTTGAGATTTATTATACTGAACAGTGCTTGAATTACTCATTACTCTATAAAACGACCCTATTTTGAGGTAAGGAATACAATATACATGGAAATATGAGTAACATTCGAAATATACCAAGGAACTTATCCGAAAAGTATAGCTTGCATCATTGTGTTATTATCTAACACTTAAATAATTCATTCTGTATTTCGAAATCCTAAGGTGATTTTTCTATCCTGTTATAGTCATCATAGTCATTATATATCACACATTGCAAGTAATCATAAATCTTTATACTCAAAGAAATGTCACTTAACTTTGGTATTCTTTATTCCAGGATTTGTTAGATCATCAGACAACTTGTATAAAATACAAGAGAGCATAAAAGATTAGGGCATATTTTATATGTCCATTTAAAAAATAAAATAGTCGCTTTTTTTTTTTCATAATTCATGGATATTCCTAAAACAATTCAAACACTTCGATATGAAAATGATAAAGACAAGCGCCTCATACAATCGTTGCAATTTGAATTCAGAGCGAAGCTTGGCCATGAATTAACGTCAACTTCTGATAATGGCGAGTATACACCATATTCAGAACAATTTATCGAATATGATATATCTACAGAAGAAAAATGCAAGGATTTATTGAATTCGGTATTGAGTTCACCTATATCAATAAATTCATTTTTATCGATTTGCCAAGATATCGAAAAGCAGTATCCATCTCTTATCTATGATTTAGATTCTACACTTATCAAACTATCTGAAAGCGAGAATACGATTTCAAAATTAAAAATATTACAAAAGTATATTGAAAACGATACAAGGAAAACCGAAGCTAATCTTAATTTGAAGAAGATTAAATCAATACCAGCAAGTAATGAGCTGTCTGCAATTTGTTCCGACAAATCATTTATTCCATTATATAAATTTGATGATAATTTCAATAATGGCGATGATGAATGTCTTCTTATTTTATTCAATGATCTTCATTTTGTTTTCAATAATACGAAACATGAAATCAAATATTGTAAATCTCTAAATTCAAAAGAAATTTCGACAATTAAGTATTCCGATATTCTTGATGAAAATAAAGGCGATGTATACTGTTTGAACAATATTAAGACAAAATTGTATATCACACAAATCAAAAATGATGAAATGACAGTTACAATCTTTCCAAAAGGATTTGTGTCCAAAAATACAATGAAAAACGAATTTTCAATCAAATTGAAAGGCAATGTCGATACATCTGCTAAAATTGACAGAAATCCTTTTAACGAGAACATCAAAGTTTTTTATGAAGACGGAACATCACAGAATATTGATTTAACAATTAAGAAAATTGGACCAGATGACAAATTATATTCAGATTCAATCTTCGTTACAAAAGCTTATTATGAAGATTCAAACAAAGTTTTATATACACACAGTTTCTGTTCTTTTGAAAACAATTTGCATTTCACAAAACAGAAATTCTAAAAGACAGACTTTTCTTTTTATGTTTGTCCAGCTATTGGATATAACACAGATCAGATAATTGTCCAAATTTGCTCCAAGATTTTACCAGAAGTAAACAAAATGTTAACTAATGCAACTAAAGGTGAAAACTCAACGAATAACTTATGCGAGTATCCAACCGAAATCATTGATATTTGCTTATTCATTTTGAATAACTTTAGTTTCAAGAGCGAATATTCAAACTACTTAACGACAACATTAACTAGATTGATTGTTTTGAATATCAAAAAGTTGGAATTGATGAAAATTCCATTGACAAAATACCATTTGGAAGGAATTGTTTCACTTTTCAAAGATTTACCAATGAACGCAGCACTTTTAGAAACAATTGATTGTATGGTCAAGGTCATTCAAAAAGCCATCTTCACGGAGGAATTCTTGAGTGGAGTGATACCAAGAGTTAAATTTGATTTCAAGAATTTCGACTCTCCTCAATATATTCTTTTCATGACGAAAGAACAAATTGATAACATGGAGCTCAAAAGTGCCATCAAATTGATGTCTAAAATGATTTTACATTTCGTTGAATTTCAAACGCAATTTAACTTGGATTTGGAATTATCAAACTTTGTTGATTGTTATTTTTCTGTTATCATCCGATCAATTCAACATGTTGATTTCCAAACAATTTCTACATTGATAATTGATTGGATTTCAGCATTTTCTTTCATCAAAGATGCACCAATCATCTCAAAAACTGCTTTGGAAAACTTCAAGAATATTATTATTCCTTTGCTCAAATTCCTTTTCTCATTCCAAGAAATGAAGAATCAAAAAGAAGATCAATATCTTGATATAAATCTTAGTACATCAGATGATAAGTTTACTTTTACATCATCTCTTCCGCATTTAGTTTTATCATCACATAATGTCAAAATCAACAACGTCGAAGTTGTCCCTGAAAAAGGAAAACTTTTCACTTATTCCTGTGATAATGATACTAAAATTAACATTTCCAATCCGTCAGTAGATATTATTGCTTCTTTAGGAATTTCTATCGCGAATGCATTAAATCAATGCTATTCTTCAATCCCTCTAACTGAAACAGAAAAAATCAATTATGTTTTGATCAGAAACGAAGTTAAGCAAGAGTCAACAAAATCCAAGATTTTCAGGCAACAAAGCCAAAGAATCGGACCTCAAAGAGTAATCCAAAAGAGATCATTGATTGAAGATGCTCAACCTATTTCAGAACAAAGAGAATTCTTAAATTCAGAAAAATTCACAAAAATCTGTGAAAATCTGAATAATGAAACAAAATTTATCATCAAGAAAGTCACTGAAGATATTTCTTCAACAGAGCTTTTGGTTTTCAAAGCAGTTACATTCAAGAAAGGGAATGTTTCTATCTTGATGCGTCTTGCAGAAAATGCTTGCATTCCAAACGACGTCAAAGTTGATTACAAGAAAGTTGTTGATACAGTCAGAAAGGCTCTAACTACTTCCAAGCAGAAATCAAAGAATAGCTTTGAACGTCACATCTCTCTAAAGAATCGTATCGAAGATTATTTGGTTTCTATCAACCAAAAATGCGACATTCTGATCAATCAAGAAATCAGTTTCCAAATGACAACACAACAAATTTTGTCATTTATTCTTTCAGATTTAACGGTATCTGACATTGGAGTTTTGCATTCTATTTCCAACAAGAGAAAGGAAGTCAAGGAGAGTACATTTTCATACATGTACAGATATCTTGATAAGATCAAAAACGATGATTTATTGTATTCCATCATCCGAAATATTGATGAAGAAATCTTCATGAAAAAAGAAATTATTGATAAATTAATGGAAATCTATGAAGAAAATCAAGAAGAGGATACAAATGAAGAAAATTTGGCTGCTTATAACAAAGAAAATCTCAAAACAGATCTTAGTGATATTGGAAACAATAAATTTGATATTTGCGATAAAGTTTGCCAAATTCGAGAATTGGCCAAAAAAGACAAAGAATTTTTGGATCAAATTTTAGATTTAATTTCTCCTGATGATGTCAAAATTTCGACAGGATGCCTTGCAATTCTAGGTTTCCATAACTTTGATATTTCGACAACATGTTATGGTTTTGTCAAAGATCAACTGAAAAGTGTTCAACAGATGACTATTTCAGAATTCAAGAACTGTAAATCAGAATTCAAAGTTTTGCCACCAACATTTTCAATTAATGACAAAATCAAGCAAAACATCCAAGAAATAATTAAAATTATCGACGTCAAAGATGTCAACTATTTGAACGACTACTTACAATTGATTAAGTTTTGTGGTAAAAATAGCATTGATATTCCGCCAAAAGAAGGATTCGAATTCAAAAACTTTTCATTATCATCCCCACAAAGTAACAACTTATTCAACTCTCCTCTATACAAATTAACTTTTTCTGAACCGACAGTTGAGGAAGAATTTGTTCCACTACGCTCAGGAACTTCATCAAATTCTCTTTTAACAACATCAAGGAACGAAATTTCTTTGTATTTAATGAATGCAATTAAATCAAAAATTAATTATGAACCTGATGACCCGAGATTACTATCAATTTACGGTGTGATCACTGAAGACGAAGTTTATTATGTAAACTTTCCAAATTATGAAATCCATAACAGAATTGAAAGAAGTGGAATTCCTTTTTATATTTCTTATTATAACGATCAGAAAGTAGAGATTAGTGACAAACATACTGGAGAAGAAGAAGATAATAATGATGAAGATGACTATATTGATCCAAATATTTCTTCATTACAAGATTTTTCTTCTTTCCTCCCAAGAACATTCGTTGGACAAACTGTTTTCATCAATGAATTTGGTCCTGGAATAATTATTGGAACAGACAACACTCTATCAAAGGTTTATGTTATTAACCACGGTAAAGAAATGACTATTGATGTTCCAAATGATGAAATTCAGAATTTGAATCCAGACGAATATTATGAATCTCTTCTTCGCGGAGTTTATCTTAGAAGTAGATCAGATTTTATTAATGGTAAAATCAAAGAAATATATGAAAAGAACATCCAAAATCTCATAGTTTTAGAAATGATCGCACAAAATTGCGTAAACGAAAGTTTAGTTATTGGTATTCTAAAAATAATAGACGACAAAACTTCAAAGGAAATATTCGAGTTCCTTAAGAGAAATGAAGAATTTATCTTTAGAACTCTCGAGAAATCCTTTAATGAAATTGAACAAATTGTTGTTGAGAATTACGTTAAGTATTTCTGCCAAAACAAAGTTGATTTCTTATTTGCAGTTGAAAGTAACAAGTATTTACAAGCCATTGTTCTAAACTACTTAGGAAATATTGATTTTATTTCCGTTTCAAATTACAACAAAATCAAGGAAGCAATTAAAATTATTCTTATTTCCTGTACTACTTCAAATATGAATCTTCTAAATCAGTATTTCATGTTCTTATTGGATAATGATTTAGAAAACGATTGTAACTACCAAACCGGAACTCTTCTCGCATTAACATACTATTCAACTGAAAAAATTTCACCTGCAGCTGTTTTCTTGACGAAAATGACAAACAGAGCCGAAAAATTCAACGAACTTCGAGATAAAAAGAATGTAGACTTAAATAGAAAAGACTCTTTTGAAGATAAGCTTTATAATCTTATCACAGTTGACTATAATAGACTCCGTCGTGATGTGTTATCTTCGGTTGACTATGATTCTGATTTAACAATCACTTTTAACAGATTTAATTCAACTCTTTTCATGAAGTCTGCTAATAAGTTATACATGTTCAACACATTTATTGCAGCATTTCGACAGCCTAAATTATGCAGAATTAGAGTCATGTTTGAGCATGAAGGAGGAATTGATCAAGGAGGACTAAAAAGAGAAGCTTTCACAATGATTGGAGAGGAGATTAAAAACAATTTGTTTACTGTTGACGAAAAGGGATTTTATCATCTCAAAACAAAGGATCCTCAGTACCAATTATTTATCGGTGTTTTCATTGCGTACTGCTTTTATTACGGCGAGCCGTTCGAGATTAATTTACCATTTGACATCAAAGATTATATTTTGTCTGAATCATCTAATAATTATAATCCATATTCAGTGGTTAAGGAAGGTTTTCAAGAAATAATCCCTGAGTATAGATTTGTTACTATTCAATATACAATTCATAAAATAGCCCTTGTTTTTGGATCTTCAGATCGAAAACTTAAACCAGAAGATATCATTCATAGACTTTCAGGATATTCTGAAACCGTTAAAGTATTTTCTGATGCCATAAGAACATTCTCATCAGAAGAATTGTCTGAATTATTAAGATTCATAACAGGGACATCTACATTGTCCTATACAACAACTCGCATTGAACTTAACACCTACAGTGGAAATAGTGATATTTCGGATGAATCGAAATGGGATCTTCCAATTGCACATACTTGCTTCAAATCATTGGATCTGAGACCATATAAAAATTCCGAAATATTAGCTAACAAATTGAAATTGGCAATGAGCTATTCTAAAATCATTTCAGATGGTGGAATGAATATTTCAATTTTCCAATAAATATTTTACATTATAAAGCTTTTTTTTAATTTGAATTTGCGTCTTACTGGATTAAATTCAATATTAGAAGACCAGATTTATCTCATTTTAATTTTAAATGACATATTTTGACTGGAAATAGTTACAGTTGTATCATCTCGGTTTGGTAGTTACAATGTTTTAACATTTTATACACCTACATTGACAGGTCCTGATATAAAAAAGCTTTGGACCATAGAAACAAATGTATAATTCTAAGACGTGAATATTAAATGAATAAAATTATGATATAATCTGTATCAAAGTCAGATTGATGTTATTTTATCCTTAAGTGTGTCCAGGCGATGATAGGTAAACGACTCAATATTGTCCTTAATCATATTGCAGTATATGGAATGGAAAGTTTAAGAATTCATATAAAAGTGCTTTCCTGAAGGTGACTTATCGTTCTAGGCACATCCTTAACAGAATAGAACCGAATGTTTTTTTCGTCAATCTTTAAATAATATAATTTGAAATAGACAATATATCTTGAAATAGAGATAAAATAAAAGTTTATTAAGAAAAATGTGATGTGTACATTTCTACCCTGAGTAAAGGACTCATATTTAAGATACAGATAGAATAGATCATCAAAAAGTAGATCATAATGTTTAACTAGATTATCTTAATACTATTCTCTAAATATCTATACAAGCTCAAGAAAATGCAAAGTGTAACACCATGGAGTGACACCACGCTTAATAATATAATAAAAAAGTTTTTATTTTAAACAAACAAACATAAGATAAGATAAAAATATTATTCACCTGTTTCAGTATCAGTTTCTGATTCAATTTGTCTTGCCTTTCTTAGATTTTCTCTTGCAGCTTCCATTCTTTCTTGGGCATCTTGTAGTGTGATTTTCTCTCTCTTCTTTCTTGAGAATGGCGAAACAACAGTTGTTACAATCAACATCACAATCCAATAAAGAACAGCAACAACTCTCAAAACAATTTGAAGCAACGTCATCTTGTAGCTCGTTGTTCCTGCGGATTTCTTCATTTTATCAAGTAAAACGTCGTTTTTGTCGCAAACTAAACGAGATTTCTGAACAACATCCGTAATCTTTTGGGCAGTGAACTGGAACTGGAAAACAGTGTTGGAAAGAGATGATTCTAGACCTTCTACACTACCTGTCAGCCTCGAAACTGCTTCACTTGCTCGAACGGATCTTTCTCGAATCGCATTTGTTGCATTTGGAAGGTTTTGCATATCAATCTTTGGAGGAGAGAAGGCTTCACTGATTGAATATGCCGCAGCGCTGAAGAAAGAGTCGATAGATGCAGTTTGGATCGGAATTTTCGGAATTTTTTTGTCTTCATTTGGATCTTTCTGTTTGAAAACAGGGGATAATGGGGTTTGTACATTGGATGTTGAGTTTGGAGGTACTAAAACATCTTGGAACTCATTAGGATTCGATTGAATTGAAATTGAATCTTTTGAGAACATCTTTGGGTCTTTGTGAGGCTTTGGATGTGGTTGTAAGTTGGATGGCGTTGATTGTTCTTCGTTGTAGTTATTTGTACCGCTGATTTTTAGCGGATTAAAACTTGTTGTTCTTGTTGGACGTCCTCTGTAAGTATTTTGCTGCATATTCGAAATGGATTGTGAACTATTGCTTGGATTGATTTGGGGAGTGGGTGGAACGAGGTTCGTATTCGTATTAGAAATTTTAGGAATATTATTATTGGTTTTTACGGCCATCATTACACGGTTTAAATCTCTCCTCTCTTCATCTGCAGGATCTGGCTTCAGGGGCTCGATTAAAATCTCGTTTTGCGGGATTTGAGATTTTGAATCTTGATTTTCCGGAATTTTCTGGATTTGATCAATTGCGGACTGTTGTTTCTGTACAGGGACCGACATTGGGAACTTTAATGGCGAATTATGCCTTTGTAATGGCTTAGTTTCGACTTTATTTTCAATTTTTGTTTCTGGTTTTGTTTCTTCAGTTTTTGGAGTTGTTTTTGGTCCCAAATCAGCACTGATGCTTGATGTAAGAGGGCGCTTGTAGTTGACTTGTATTGCAGCACTTTGGCTTGAAAAAGCAGGCTTTTCTGGGTCGAGATTCGATGATTTTTCATGTTTGCTTTTCTTTGAATGTTTCTGCTTCTTTTCTTTGAGTATTTTCGCTTTAACTGATGGGTCCTCATTATCTTCGATATCAGCATCGACATCATCATCGTATCCATCGTTTTGTTGTGGCCCAATCGGAGTTGGATTTGGAACAAAGCTATTTTGAGGCTGAAATGTAGGAGTATTTATCTGAGTTTCATTTTGTTGTAATCGTGGAGCTGTCGCTGGTGTTGTTGCTGGTTCCTTTGAAGGAGAATTATTTGGTGTTGCTTCAGCTGTTTGAGCCTCTTGCTTAGGAAGACGCTTTGCAAAGTTTCGTTGAAAGTATGATGCTTTTCCGAAATTATAACGAGGTTCTGGTGTTTGTTGTGAATTATCTGCAGATTCAGAACTCAAAATCGGGTTATTTCCAGCAACTTGAGATCGCCTAGGAGTGAAACCAATTTGATTATCTAAATTAGCCATCTCATCAGGTTCATCCATTAACATATCTAAGCGCTTTCCTCTCATCATTGATAAAAATGACATAAAAATAATATTGCACTATCATAAATACGGTATTATGTGAAAGTGGTTCATGATTTATAGGATTTTAGATATAAAAATGCCGTTTCAATTATTATCAAAATTATTTGTTTTTTGAAGATAATTCAATACAATAACTCACATACATGGATTCACAAAACCTGATTGTGAGACTCAAACCTGAATGTTATGGAAAAATTAGATATGATTTAATAATTGGTTTTTATAAGTAAATAAGATATCTAATTACATAAATTCTTATATTTCTGTTCAAAAATGCGTTTTTCCTTTTGAATTTCTTCAATTGCATTTTCTATTGAATCCTGATCTTCAATGTAATATGCCTCATCAATGAAATTGAGTTTTTCAGTACAGAATTTGACTGCATCTTTGTTTTGTCCTTTTCTGGCTTTGTTTTGGTATTCCTCAAATATTGCTTGCAATTCACCAAGTTCTTCATCGTAATTTCTTGAATCAGCTCCAATTTTATCTCTACTTTCTTTAATTTGCTGTTTAGTAAGTTTTGTGAGATCGTTCTCTACTTCATAGCTTGGAAGGAATTTCGATAAATCTATATCCATTGATTCTTCTTTGGCTCCTTCAATATTCAATAATTGGAATTTCACATGTAAGCAATTCTGTTCATCAACTTGGAATGTTACTCTTGCTTTTTCTTTACCTGCCTTCTTGTTTCCACTAAGTCCAGTTAAGGTATATTCTCCAATTTTCCTTGAATCTTCTAAACTTTCGCCTTGTAAAATATCATATTCTATTTTTTCCTGATTATCAAAACTAGTGCTTGTGATGGTAGTAATTGGCTCTGATGGAAGTTTTGTATCTTTCATAATCATCTTCTTCATGGTTGTCTCATATGTACCATGTATATAACATTCGAATCCATATGTTATTGACACGGCTTCAATCATCTTCTTTGGGAAATTTTTTGGAAGCACAATTTGATTCCCATTCATTTCTTCTTGTTTTTTGTAGAATTCAAAGAATGCTTTTTGAGCAGCACCAATTGCAACAGCTGTCAAAGGATCAACAGAATTGATCACTCTTATATTGTCGTCCTCAAATTCAAGTTCTAAAGACTCTTTAACGTAATAGATCATAGATGTGCCTCCCACCAAAAGAATAGATTCAACTTTTGCGTCTTTATGTGAATTCAGCAATCTCCTAATAATTGTGATTGTTCGCTGAATAAGAGGATCAAGAATTTTTTCCAACTTATTTTTCATAAATGTGTATTCAATAATTTCGTTTTCAATTCTCAATGATATTGTTGAAGATTTGTGTCCATTGGATATACTTTTCTTGGCTTTTTCTGCATCTAAAACAAGAATACTTTTGCATGCTTCGATGTCGATTTTCGGATATTTCATGCTAAGAGATTTGATTGCATCTTCAACTATACCATTATCAATATCTCTTCCACCTAAATGATTGTCTCCATCTTGGGCAATTACTTCTATCTGATCTTTAGAAATTTTAACCAAAGAGAGATCTCCTTTCTTTATCTAATGATATAGTATTCCTATAACAAAGGGCAGCAGATGATGGCTCCTTGAAAAGAAAAACCTTCTCTGGATTAGGAAATTCTGCAATTTTTACAGCATTTCGAACCTCATCAAGCTGCTTTTGATCAAAATGCGCAGGAACAGTTACTACAACATGATCAAGTGGGATACCTTTTTTCTCCAGATTTTTTCGAATGTAATTTAGTATTGAAGCTGAAACTTCATAAGGTTTAATTTTTGTTTGGCATTTTCCGTTATCAATTAGAATAAGTGGGTTTCCATTGCTGTCTGGCTTGACACCAAAAGTCCATTTAGGAATTTCATTAGATAAATCTTTATATGTTTTACCAAGCATTCTTTTGCTATCATAAATAACATTCTTTGTGTATTCATTATTGTTTAATAACTTTTGGGCTTTATAACCATATTGATTTGGTGTGCCATAATACACCATTGAGGGGATTGAGTTTTCTCCATCAAACTCGAACACTTTGGCCTTATCATTACTGAACACGGCGGCACTGCAATATGTAGTACCAAGATCAATACCAACATATGACGAAGACATTAAGTGATGACTTGTATAATTATGATAATCGACTTTTTTCACAATTTTTTTTAAAAAAATTGAGAACATAGTCGAAGAGAACTTAAAAAGTCGTTCTCTTCAATATAACCATTACGGTAAGCTTGCTAAAGATACAGAATTATAAAACTTGATTTATACTTAGATATCAAATATCTACTATGTCACTTTTTAAAAGTCGTCGAATTATAAAATGTTAAATCAAAATTGCACCCTTAAAAGCAATAGCTAATATGCTATGATTCATATAATTACATCAATCAATAACTTAATTCTTCTTCATTCATCAACTTGATTGATAGAATTAATAGCATGTGTCTTTTTCTTTTCATTGTCAATCGATGAATCAACATTTCTATATTTTGAATTTCATCAAATCAATGACGAATTTCAAATTTGAATCTACATTTCTCTAATTTATATTTCATCAAAGCAAGAACAAATCTACATATTTCTTTATTTTGTATTTCATCAAACCAAATTAATTTTGAATTTCTAATTATGAATGTGCATTTCTCTAATATATATTTCAACAAATCAAATGATTGAGAAAATTCCAATTTTGGATCCTTAATACTCTATTTCGAACTTTTTCAAACCAAATTAATTTTGAATTTCTAATTATGAATGTGCATTTCTCTAATATATATTTCAACAAATCAAATGATTGAGAAAATTCCAATTTTGAATCCTTAATACTCTATTTTGTATTTCATCAAATCAAATTGCAAATTCAAATTTTTGAACACATAATTCCCTAACTCATATATATATGAACATAAATGATATAAAACTCTACTTTATTTAGTACAAAATTCCTTGAAGAATTTTATAATTCGTAAAATAAAATAAACAAAGATAAATAAAAACATATATATATAAAATAATAAAAAAGAGAAGTTACTGGTTCTGTCCAGGAGCAGAGAAAACCTGTGCCTTCGCAGGAGCACCGAAAGCAGACTGTCCGTAAGAAGGCTGGCCAAATCTAGACTGGTTTGGAGATCCTTGCCCGGCTGGTTGAGATGGAGATGGCTGCCCGTACGCTGATGAAGAGCCAAACGCTGTATAAGTCTGCTGAGGAGCGTATGGACTGCCAAACATTGGATTGGCACCGTATGGTTTCGGAATTCCGTAGGGGGAGTCACCAAATGCCGATGAATTTCCGTATGGAGTTGTCTGCTTAGGAACACCGTATGCGGAAGCTCCGTAAGGTGCGGAAGGAACTCCGTAGGCTGTATTTTGTGGTGGAACGTAGGATGATGAGCCTCCTGGAGTTCCGTAGGCTGATTGTGGATTTGATACGTAGGAAGAAGATCCGTAAGTATTCTTTGGTGCTCTGGTATTCATGCCGAAGGCAGATCCGGTGTAGCTGGGTGTTGTAGATGTTGCAAATACAGATGTCGAATTATTTCCATATGCTGAGTAAGAAGAAGAGCCAAATGGGCTTGGAGCGGATGTAGCTGTATATGCTGAGCTTGCTGATGATGAAAATTTCGAAGAATTGCCGTACATCGATGAAGAACCGCCGAATGTAGTTGTTGATGAAGATCCAAAGGAAGAATTAGTAGGATTAGGTGCTGGAGTAGGTGTAGTTGTTGGCTGCGAGGAGAATGCACTTTGCGAATTCGATGAATATCCTGTGAATGAATTAGGGGCCAAATAAGAAGATTTTCCAGGAACTGGACGAGGAACTCCCATCCTTTCTTCCTTAGAGATAGCGCGTACAACTTCGAGAACTTTGCCATCAATAACTTTGCCATTTAAAGCTTGAATCGCTCTGACAGCGGAATCATGGTCAATCATATTGCAGAAACCTGAGAAACCGTCAGGGAGCATCTTAGTAGAGATGACAACGCCGAATTCGCTGAAAAGATTGCCCAAATCTGTTTCATTTCTGACGTTGCTCGGAAGATTTCGGATAAATATATTAGTAAAGACATCGTCGCTTGCTGGAGCACCTCTAGGATTTGATGCCGGGCTTGTTTTCTGTGGTCTCTCTTTCTTTTTATATGGCTCAACAGAAATCTTCTTTCCGTTAATCACAGCATCATTCAGTTCAACACGAGCCTTCTCAGCATCGTTAGGGTCACGGAATTGGACATAAGCATAACCTTTATTTAAGCCATCAGTTCCTGTTGGTAATTTACAAGAGATAACTTCTCCATATGTCTGAAATAGTTCATGGAGCTGCGAAACTTCAATATATACATCTAAACCGCGAACATATAAATTGCCTTCGCCAGATTTAATTAAGTTCTGATATTCTTGAGTAGTAGGAGTAATTACTATTGGCGAACCGTTTAGTTTAGTATAGTTAAATTCTTTGATTGCTTTCAATGCAGATTCGGGTGTATCAAATGTAACAAATGCAAAATTTCCATTTTGCCTCTCTTTTAGAGTTACATTGACAACTTCGCCACATTCTTGCAAAAGTATTTTTATAAAATCTGTGGTGATACCTGATGGTAAATTGGAAATATGTACAACTTTATCAGAGCTTTGCTCGAAAGACATTGTCACTTTTTGTTTCTAAAGAAATTTGAAAGTGGCTGACCATTTTTGCGATTTTGATCTGTCAATATTATTTATAATTTTATTAATACATGTGTAATACAAAAAGAGTTGATTTCGTATATTTTAAATTTGAATTGCTCGAATGATTATTTTGATTTCAAAATCAAAATCATTTGAATTGAGATCAAATTTGATCGTTTGCACTACGTATACTACATATAATATTCTTTTTTATCAAATTCTATTTTTCATAGAGAAGTACCCAATTATATTGATTTGATCCCCCTTTATTATTCTTTATAATGACTGAAACTTCGAATTTTACAGTAGTAATGACTCCTCATATGAAGGATCTAGCATCTCAGTTTGATAATCCTCCAGAAAAGCCAAAATTTATACCAAAACCTGAAGAAGTACAGGAATTAATAGAATTATCTTTAATATATCCAGTTACAGAAATTCCAGCGCATAGTAAATATCTTTTTCGATATACAAAACATCAAATTCAAGAAATATACAAATCTATTCTTAATGGAGAAATAGAAATTCCAAAATCAAAATCCAAAATCAATAAAAAAGAGTTCTCTCTTGAAGAAGACTTTATAATTTTAACATTTATTAGATTACAACCAGGTTCTAACATCTCAAATCTTATAGAAATGTATGGAGAATTGTTTCCAATTTATCGAAAAAATTCAGAAATCAAGAAGCGATACAACGAACTCAAAAAGCTTCCAAATGACAAAGTATCTGAGATTTTAGATAAATATACCAGAGAAATCGCTTACGAAGATCTTTTCGGAACATCAACTCAAAAAGCATCAGAAGATTCAACGATCAAGGATATAAAATTCATACAATGCAGATGCAATTACCAACCCGTGATTTATGACCAGTTATCTTCAAAAGCTTCGGATGAATTAGACAGACTTGACAAAATCAGCGAAATTTACTGGCAAAGAGAATTTTCTCCAAATGATTTAGCAATTCTCAGGTCCGAAAAGCTCAAATTCTTCATGCGAAGGGAAGCAATCATGATTGGACGTGGAACACTCGATTTCGATGTTGATGTTAACTTATCGGAGTTTGGTGAAAGAGCCTGTGTTCATGTTTCGAGAAACCAAGCTGTTATTTCCTTCTTACTTGACTTTAATTTTTATATTACAAATATTGGCAACAGAACGTTCAGAGTTAATGGTGTTGTCATTGGTCCAGGCAAGAAATGCAGATTACATGATGAATACTTGCTTGATTTCTCAGGAATTTTGTTAATTTTCTATTCAAATAGACAACTCATTGATCAAATCAAAGTTGCACTCGATGATTCAATGGAGAACCAAAATAAACGTGAAGCAAATTAAATATTATTGTTTGATTAATAAAAATCATTTTTTCTAATCAGATAAAATTTTTTTAACACAGAAAAATCTTTGAATTGACCTTTTGAACCTTTAAAAACGCATTGTTTCATGTTATAGTTTGTTCATTGTGCATTAACAACATATAACATGTCTAAAAATGCAGGAAAGAAAATCATGAGAATTGTAAACATTTGTGCAATGATCTTAATGCACTTCCAATGAGACTTATTCTCAGATGAATAATTAGTAATTTCATTTGAATGAATGATATAAAGAGTTATATATATTTTCTTTTAGCTAAAGAAAGTGAAAATACTGATTATAATGCTTTATTGTTGGTGAATCGAAATGCCAACATACATGTGCAAAATAGTTCTTAATTCAAGATTTGATATAAAATGTTATATTAGACTCATGATTGTATCTCGTGTAACACTTAGACGTTAGAAAAATCAAATCTATATGACATGATCCGAAGAAAAATTCGAGATTTAACTATTAAGATCATCAATATCATCTGATCTAAATACTTAAATAAAAAAACAGCAATAGTTGATAGATATATAAAACGAAATACATACAAAAATTTTATATTATAATAATATCAGTAAAAGATAGAGAAAGGAGAAGGACAATATGAAGTTTTGATTGGAGAAACATAAGCAGGGTATCCAATTGGAAGGTCACAAGCCTGAAGAATCAAGTTATGAAGCATATGATCATCTTCTTGTATAGATAATCTTTCGCTGTTGTTATTTCCAAGGAATATCTGTAAGAAAGCTTCACTTGCCCAGAAACATTTAACAAATTCTCTCTGTATATGAATGATGTCGTAATTAACTTCAGACATTTTGAAGAACACGGCCAATTTCTCTCCAGATCGTTCTGTAATTGAGAACAAATCAGCTTCTTCCGATTTAAATGTCTCTTGGAACTGTTGAGAAGTAATAGGAGCAGAAATATAATGTTCTATTGTTTCATTCGTGAAATTTATACACTCCAATATTTGTGAAATATCAGGTGTCATCTGCATTGATTCCATTGATAAAATCAATGCAAATAACTGTGCAGCAGGAGAAAACAAATTAGCATATAACATATCTGTTGTTTCCTGATGCTGTGTATTGATAAAGAAATTACAAATCTTTTCAGTAGAAATGTATCCATCCTGTAAAATCAATTCGAGGAACTTTGAATAAGCTGTTGCAGCTTTTTCTCTGTCAATAGCAATGGACATGTTACTTATTACATTGTTCAACTCGAAAGGAATGTCTTGGGATGGTTCTTCATCAATAATAATTGTTTCTTTTCCAATTAATTGATGACAAAAAGTGATTGCAGCCCAAAATTTTGTTTTTTCTTGGTCAACACCCAAGAAAGACCTGTTCAATTGGATTGTTATCACATTATATTGCATCAATGATACATTTGTGGCCCTAGTTTTCCAGTTCGTCCCCGCATAAGTTAATTGTGACCTGAAATTCGGAATTCTGTCTTTATACAACACGACGTCGTCCTTGAGTTTGGCGATCTCTCCAAGGTGGCATAGGGTTTCGTCGTTGTATTCTAATCCTCTGACCTGAAATCTGACAGAATGAGATTCCAAAGCGACAATGTGGACAAATGCGGCCAGTGGCTCACTCAGGAACAAGAAGAAATCATTGGAATCAACAATTCCGAGAGTTCCATTTCTAATAATATTCGCAAGATTCATAGTTAAAGCTCTTGCCATGGAATAATAAACGGGAGCTTCAACGGGATGCTCCGTTAGCGATACAATAAATGGTTTCGCAATGTTGTCGTCTTTGTTATCAGTGTAATCCCAGAAACAATTGGGTCTTGGAGCACATGGTAACATAAAAAGTGACAAATTTTGAGGGGAAAGGAAGGGAGCGCCTGTAATGAGTGACCACAGGAAAGCAGGGGTTGCTAGGACACGATCTGGACCGGGCATGGCCGTAAAAACTGAAGTGACAAGGAAATCTTTGATTTTATCTTTAATTGTATCGGAATAATACGTATCATAGAACATATATAAGCCCGTCAACCTTCCTCTTCGCCAATAATCTATGACTGTGGAGATATTCATGAGTTTTCTGGCTAATGTCATTGATAATATTAAATTTAGTGCTGGGTTCGGCAATTTTAGCTCGATTCCGAATGTAACACGCTCTAAAATGATGGATAATGCCATAATATAGCTCTGACAAAGAGAATTATTGATGGCAGCTACAATAATTAAGGCGGAAATATAAGGATCTGAGTTCCATCGCTGTAGGATACCTCCAATAAATAAAGGAGTGAAGAAACAAGGCGTCAAAAGCCTTAATGCGTTGATAGTTTTCGATGGAGTTGAAAAAATTCTCATATAAAACAAAACATAGTAGCTATTGGCACTGATAAGTGGCCAGATGAAGTCAAGAAGCGTACAAAAAACGCACGATACAGTTGCGATGCTTTCAAACGAAATATAAGCTATTACAGCGCTGGAATATGAAGAGACGAACCCAACAAGTGACGAAAAGATAATAACAAAGTAGAACTTAAACATTTTCTTCTTAATTAATGAAGTAAATGTCAAAGGAAACTGCAGTAGAAGAAGTGCAAGGCCAATCGCGCATGACAATCGGACAGGCGTTATAACCTTGACAATGAAAAAGATAATAATGTAAACAATTAACGAACGAATGAACTGAATTATCGAATGGACAAATCCTCCTGAGCCAGAAAGGCCAAACGAATAATAAGAAATTCCTTCTAGTAGCCATGTAATGAATGTCGATGGCATTGGAACTAAAATTAATAAAACTAGAGGAAATGCACCTAATGCAGTACGAAAAGTGTCAGAAATGATACCATATATTTGCTTCCAGTAAATAGTAAGCTTTAAAATGTCACTGTATTCATAATCTACGGAATTTGATTGAAAATAAGAGAAAATGAACCAGCACAAGCAAAAAATCGTGATGTAAAATGGTCTTGTAATTCCAGTCATGATATCGCCACGAGTTGTTGAGTATGGATCGACTTCTGGAGGTGATAATAAAGAGTATAAAGAAAAACCTGAATAAAACGCTAAAAGTATTCTTTCATACACTGAGAAATACTGCATAATTATTGATACAAGGGTTTCTTGTGTCATCGATAAGAAAAATAAATAAATTAAATATCTTATCGACGTATTTCCTGGAAACAGCGCATTTAATGTCTGTCTGTTAAATGGTAGAGGACAAATCATACCGAAAATTTTAATGTATTCTTTCTTTTGAGGAATAATTTCTTGTTTTGAAGGTATTGCATCAACCAATGACGGATTTCTTACGTATTTGAAGAATAAAACGATGGAATTTGTATCGAATCCTTTATTTAGTAAGTCTGTGAAAATTTGTTCTGTTATTGAAACATTTGAAGCGAAATTTGATCTTAATCTCCATAATTTTTGAGGAATTCCTGGCGGAGGTGGAATTTCTTCCCTCGTTACAACTTCATCTCTATTTTCTCCGCTGTCTTCTAATTCAAATGAGGAATTAACTAAAGAATTTAAGTAATACATGATTGATTTTGTGATTAACAGCGGTAGAGATAGACCAAGTGCAAAAAATGCACCTGCAACAGGACTAAAACTTGCAAATATTGGAATTAAATGTATCAGAATCAAAAACGCGAGGACTAATGTTCTTATTATGGTATAAAATGGAGAAATTCCAGGTGAATAACCACCAAGTAATGATATCACCCAGCCTCGACGAAATTTCTCCATTTTTTGTCACTTTTTTATATAAATTGACAAATTCAACACGGATCTAACTATCGATAGTAGAAAGAGTTTTTGAAGGTTATATGGTAAAGATTTAGATCAGTGATGACCTGATTTGGATAATGAATCTTGGTACATGATATATAGCCCATATTAAGTAGTTGCAATATGAATATGATTCACTTAATATTGAATGATTATTATTTTCGTCTGAAAAAGTGACAAAATTATCATTTTTGTCAGACGACAATGATAATTTTTTATTTTCAGGGTCATACTAAAAAGATGAATTTATGAGATTGCATTGCAATGATACTTACTTGGATTGCAATGCATCTATTAGGAAATTTTAGTGAAAGTAAATTGAAAAGTTTGAGCTTATGATTTTGACTTCGCTAAAAAAAATTGACTCGAAATTCACAAAAAATGAAATAATTTGAAGTCAGAAATAGAATTATAATATGAATAAGCAGCTATTAAATAAAGTTGTGTATCAATTGATTGCGCTTAAATTAATAGAAATAGAGTTATAGTTCAATAATTCGATGACAGCCGAAAATGATAATCCCCTAAATATTTGTGTGAGGTTTTTACATATTTTGACTTATCTTTTGGATCTCAAACTTTCAGATATGATTTAGTACAAAGCATATGGTAACTGTAATCTCAAAGTTTGTTATTTTCCTGAAAGTTTGATACCGAAATCAATTGCTGATATGCTTGAAGTACGGTGATTGGCCAGATCAAATGCTGTGCTTCAAACGGCAGCGCCACCTTATGATGTCCATAACATAATAACACATGATGACAAATGGTGATAAAAAATATTTAAATTGTAAATACATTTTATATCTTAAAAACAAATATTTGATGAACAAGATATTGAATATCTCGAAATCGGCCAGATAACTTTCATTAGATAGTTTGCTATTGGGATAGTTTAGCAATCAAATCGTCACAATCTTCGCAGAGATTAGTCGCACATTGCTTATATGTAATTTTAAGTATTGGATCATAGGAAAGTAGAAATATATCATCAATTTGTTTTATTTTTCCTGGAGATGGGGGTTGATATGGTTTGCGGACTGTATCAGACAATGTAGACTTTGAATTGAAGTCATCAATAGTTCGAGTATGTCTTTTAGCTCTTTTCATCGATTTTGATTGCAAATCTTGTAAACTCATTTCTGTCTGGTTGGGAATCTGTGAACGAACTTGTGTAGCTGATAAGGCATTAGTAGTATATGATAGTCTTAGCATTTTTGTTCTTCTTTCTTCATCTTTTGGATTTAAATGAATTTGTGATTCTAAGTCTGAAAGAGATAAATTACTTGTAGATTTAGGAAAATCAGACCCACTCACAGATGTATTTATGTTTAAGTTAAGCTGACTTCGATTTGAATTTTCGTTATAATTTTCTTTTGATCTTTTTGGAATATCGAGAGCTTCTTTGATTGAAGAACGTACTATCTCTGCTTCAGCTGGTTCTATATTCTGAAAGTAACGACTTCTTTCCTTTGGAGTCTTTGGAATCGTTTCATTGAGATATTCGTCATCAGAATCACTCAATTCTTTTGATATACTTGCAATTTCTTGATCAATTTTCTGTAAATCTCTGTTAGTTTTCTTTATTAATTTCTTAATTGGAGATTGGTGAGTAAGTTTCACCCTCTCTCTATCAAATTTTATATCTTGCTCCATAACTCGTAACTCTCTATTAAGATTACTACTCGATAAAAAAGATTTAGTATAATTTTGACGTTTACTCATAAAATGTCAAATTTTTCATTTAGCATTTTGTAGAAAATTATATTGACTTTTTCCAATAAATAAGCAAGCATATCATGTTTCGGCTTATGATTACACTGAATCTCATAACCATAGTTTAATACTGAGGGAATTGTAGCTCCTGCAAATTCGGCTCCACCTGAACATTATAGAAATATCCTCTCAAAATCAAACCATTCAACAGTTGGAATTGCTCCGATACTTCGAAACTCTAGCTCTAAATCATCCAATGCCTGTTGTACTTCGTCAGAATATTCAGTGGCAAAAATCTAATTCATACTAATGGTTTGAGCATCTGTAACTTGCATCCACTCAGAATAATTAGTCAATTTGAGACATAATTAATTAAACATGTAATGAATGGTTAATTTAATTTTTAAATTTTAATTAATTCGCCTTTGAAATCAAAAACTTGGATACTTAATTCATTATCATCGTCTTTATTGTGTTGATTTTTTCCTGTCTGAATTAGCTTGAAAGCAACAAAATAGTCGCTTGTTTGGAGTGGAAATTCTTTAGTTTCATTATGCTGAAATGAATAATTTTTATTATCCAAAATAACAGTTGAGCCATTTTCCTTTATACCTTCTAGCCTCCAAAATCTCAAAAGATAGGACGAAGTGAATGCTGAAAGTAAAATATAAGAACTTGGTTTTAATTTATAACCTTTGAGATCAACACGAACCCATTGATTAGCTGAGTCACAACGTGTCGTGAAATCATTATGAATTGAATAAGTATTAATATCTGTTATTTTTCCAAATTTCACAGATGACGAAGAAAATTCTGCATTAATTCTTTCGGAAATGAGGACAAATTCATGAGCATCATTAATTGATATTTCAAACTGATTTTTCTGTAAATATTTTTCAAATAATGAATTAGAACTGTCTGATATTTCAAGTTTTCTAATTTTGTTCGAGTGTTTCAGTATATCATAGTAAATCTTTAAAAGAATTGGTTCGAATGAGTTTTCAACTGAAAAAATATAAATTTCTTCAAATGTATGAGAAGTGCAATATTCTAATGAAATGTATCTAAATAAATCAAAGAATTTATTGTCCTGTTTACAAATTTCGAGGAGTAACATGCATAATTTATCCTCTTTTTCAATTTTTAGAGATTTAGAAGTTAAAATTTTTTCGAAGAAGTCATATCCAAATTGAACTGTATACTCGATAATATGAGCATCATTCAAGCAATATAAGTGTGATGAAATATATTCAAGGCATTGATTTTGTGTTGTTAAATCGTTTTCAAAAATAGAAATTTCATACTTCGGAAACACGTTTTCATTGGTAATGGAACTATCTGATTTGATATGTTTTATATACAGTTGTATCAAGAATTGGTTACGAAAATATTTCCCGAATTCAAATATATCATGATAATGATCTTCATCTTCTTGAAATTCAAGAATTCCTGTGTCTATAAATTTTTTGAGTATGTTGATTGAATCCTTGCACTTGATATATAGATCTGTTTCAACAGATGATATCTGTTTATTCAAAATGCATTTTTCTTTAATGAGATCTGAAAAGCATACTGCTGAAGACTTCAATGTTTCGATTCTTTGCTCATTTATCTTGATCTTCAGTTTCCCGCATTCTCTAAGAATGCTTACACGTTCTATTTCATTACACAATGCTGTGACTTGTACCATGGAAAATAAAAAAAAAGCATATTATGTTTCGTTTTGTCCAAATGAGTTGAATAAAGTTTTGCTATCAATAATGTAAAGGTATTAACTTACCAAGATTATTTATGGAATTTGATATATATAATATAATTACAAATACATCGGGCAAGCGTGCCACCTTTCAAAAAAATAAAAGTCTTTGTAGCATCTTTAATATACACACTGTCTTAATACTAATAAAATGGTTTGAATACGTAAATTTACTAAAAATAATAAGAAAAATAAACTAAGATAGCATAAAATAATTAAGCTTATGCATTAGAATTTCCGTTCTTGGAGATATGGCCAATAATACTTACATCATCGTCATCATCGTGATATGACACAAATTCTTCATTATAATCTTCTGATAATGCGACAGCATCACCGAAGAGTTCTATCCTATTCAGAGCCATGCATAGTGGAAATCCTGGGCAAGCCTCAGTTTGAAGAATCCTGACAAATCTTGCTGTATATTCTCTTTCTAACTTATAAGTCTTTTCAGTGCATCTCCTCATATCATTGTCTTTGCTGACTGAATGAACGTCCTTCCAAGTCTTATTATCATCCGAAATCTGAAGAGACCAGCTGTATAAGCAGCAATCAAAGCAGCCGTATCCATCATCACAGCAGCAGCCATCTTCGTAGCAGCATCCACAACGGATAAAGTAACTATTGAATCTAAATTTCTTTGCTTTCATTGAGAAAATAATATATGGTAGAGCCTCGTAATTATAATTACAGTTTGAACACCAGTCATATTTCTTATCGCGTGGTTCTATTGCGTATTCTGGTTTTGTTACTTGTAATGAGTTGTTAATGAACTGTTTAGAGGATCCACTTACTTGAAGAGTAAAGATGTTATCCTTATAATGCTTTGCAAAGATTCCATTTTGATCAAAATTATGTGAAATCAGAAATGGATAAAATCATTATTTTTTCGGGAAAAAAGTGAGATTTTAGTTTTAGAAAAATGGGCTTAGATGGTGGACTTATAACAACTAGACAAGATATGACGACAAAGTCAACTAAAAAGACTCGACAGGAAATAGAAAAAGAGAAAAATGAATCAAATGCTGATTCATATTGGAAAATGTGTGCACTCACAGGTCTCCTTTTGCAAGTTCCTATATTAATATCTCGATCAGGTAGTATTTTTAGAAAAGAAGACGTATTAGAAGCTATTGTTAAAAAAATCTTACCAAAAAGATTTAAATATCTAAAGCATCTTAAGAATTCTAAAGAAGTTGATCTTCGTGGAGCTAATACTTTATTAGAATACGTATGTCCTTTATCTTCTAAGTCACCAATCCCTTCTTCAAAAGAATCTTTCGTTTTCCTCTTCTCGTGCGGCCATCTATTTTGCAAAGATGCATTTGATTTGATGTGTTCAGATCATGTTTGTCCAATTTGCGGCAATAAAACAGATACTTCAGATATTATTGAATTGAATTGCTTCCAAAATCATGAATGGAAGAAATAAAGCACTTCTGTTATTTGTATATTAGCAAATAATTAATCATGTATTAAATCTATCTTTTTTACACAAAAATTTATTTTCCCTTTTGCGAATATCATCAACATCTTAATGACTCCTCACTAAAAATAATAATTAATCAACATAGAAATTATTTCCTTCAATTAATGCGAATAGCTGATAAAACATTGATTTACTTTAAAAAATATGGTTTTGATACAATCCATATATACGTAACATGAATGTTGATGTTCAATCTTATGTTTTGCACTTTTGGCTATTTAAAACTAACATTGAACAAAAATATAAGATTGAGCACCAATATTCATGTTCAGATTTTTTGCGAATAATGGCTGATTATATAGGATCATTTCGTAGATCCTGATAAAATATAAAATAATTTTTGAGATTTTTCTTTATGAATTGAAAGAAGAGAGTCATAAATCAAATATTTAATAAGTATATAAATAATATAACATTTAATTCAGTATATTTAAACAATTTAGAGATAGCAACAAAATTATCCGATTTCAACAACGTTTGAGCCGATATCCTCTCCAATTAGCTTATCTAAAATAGACAGACATGCGTATATACCGCTAATTACGCCAAATGTATTACTAATGAATTGAAGGAAGTTCTGTCTATTTGCAGAAACGACAATTGTGTAAGGAGTGAACTGGTATTGAAAGAACAGGCCCGGAGATATTCCAAAGAGTTGGAATGTGTCAATAGCTTCTGAAAAAGCTGTGTATTCGTAACCTTTGAGATATTCAACGCCATCACGGTAGAAAATGACAGGAGTAATAAGAAGATTATAGAAATATGTGCGATCGTGAGTTGGAATTTGTTGAAAACTCTTGAAGTTATCGAGTGGATTTGATGTTCTTGGGATATGTGGTCCAAAACGTAATCTTTGGATAGAATGTGTCATGTCATGGAACATCTGCATTGAAGATAGATCATGCAAATAAGCAGATTGTGGAACGTTCGTTCCAGGAGCGATATGAAATGAACCAGGAATTCTGTTTACCGTAAGCTTTCCTTTAACAAGGCATTTTTCTGAAAGAGAAACATTTGGTTTCTTTTCGTAGTTGTTACAAACTCTGTATTTTGAAAAGTCGACTGGTTTATTTTGCATAAGAGACAAAAGCTGGACTTTTAAACATGAATTGCAGCACTCATCAGGATTGGTAGAGAGATTGTAGCATGGTTCGCAAACATCACTCAAAGTATCGTTTGTATATCCGATTACACGACCCAAATTATTTAATCTTCTAAAAGTAACTGTATTCTTTATGTATGAGCGCTGAAATCCAAGTGAATCCATGTAGTCTATATGTAAGAAATAGCAAGGCATTGCAATTTTGATTGTTAACGAGATATTTATGGTTTCTGAAGCACTAGTGACCGACGGTTTAACAGATAAGTCACGGTAAATTCGCGGATTAATGTAAAGAGCCACATTTGTGATTATTAATATAGAACTTACGACTGTTAACAATATTGATACAACACTGCCATATTTTGTTGTCATCTTAAGCTCGTCATGAGTATTTTTATCAAAAAGATCAAGAAATTCAAGATAAGTAACCATTTTTAAAAAAATTAAAAAGTGACAAATTCTGAAATCCAGATTTCTACTACAGAATTAAGCCAATTATGCGGGAATGTGCTAGAGTTTACTGATGTCTCTGATAAAGGTAATGATTTTGGAATGATTTCAAAGCTTTTTTCAGCCCTCATATTGTGGTTTTAGCAAATATTATATATTAATAGATAAAGAATAAAGATCTTCAAATTATTTATTGGTAATGATAAAATGTATCATATTGCAGTTTTGGCAATGATGAGATGCATCGTATTGTGTTTTTGGCTTATAAATCATCTTAATAGATAAAGGATTTGTCGTGTTGAGTTGTAATTTTGAATGAATTACAATGTAAAACGTGTCAAATTTATTCAAAATCGCAAATGAATATGATATTATTTACCTTAAGCCAAGGGAAATATTCGATTACCATAGCTAATCTTCAAAAATTATACCACAGAGCAGTTGATTATTATTGAAAAGTTCGCATTTTATATTATTTGCAAATAAATTCTTGTTCGATTCAAATATTCCTTAGTTTTTATAACAAATAAATAAAAATATATATATAAATAAAAAAGTTATTCGATACCTCTAAAAGCAGCTTCGACATTTTCTTTCATGTCATCAATTATGTCTCTAAATGCTTCTCCTTTCACTCCGATTACATTTGCTGCTTTTACTAATTCATCGATGTCATCAATGAGACCAGAAGCAGTCTTGTAGAATGCATTTCCACACCTCAACAAAATCAGTTGCAAAGAAATTGGTCTCAAGTTATTTGACTGAAGTTTTTTGTCATTTTGACATTCTTCAATTCTTGGAATCTTTCCAAGATGCTGCTCAATCTTTTGTCCTGCTCTTTGGTTTGCTCTTTCCAATCTCAAACTGTCAACAACATTCAGAGCAGGATGATCCAATCTCACGACATCCCATGTACTGCATTTATACAGTTTATCATTAACGTTGACAGCAATGACATTATATCCATTATCACTCCTCAATCTCGTGTCAATTGTTCCTTGTCTGTCATCAATTGTCTTCACTTTTCTTCCTCTCTTGAATTGGTCGCCCAACTTCGAATCAAAAACTTCTTCAGGAATCAAATAAATTGGATAAAATGGAACAGGAACATATATGTCACATTCAAATTGATTGTCAAATTTGACAGTGACAGAACATCCTTCATTTTTATAAGGTGACACTTTTGTGATGATTCCCTTTGAAAAAGGTGACACTTTCTTATTTACACGATAAGGCGGCGTAAATGGGTAATTATTCTGTCTTACGAATTCTTTCATTGCGCTTGTGACGAAGACGACTTTGCTGCCTTTTTGTGGATAAAAGATTCCTGTGACTTTGTTGTCTGATGTCCAGAAATTTGTCACTTTTTCATGTGAAGGAGTTTTGAAGGGGAAAAGAAGAGGTAAATCAATTTTGTTTTCATTTTCCTTTTCTTCTGATTTGTGTTTAGGTGTTGGAACAGATCTATGGACTTTGCGTGAAGGTGAATTGTGACGAGAACTCTTTTTATCATCATCAGAACTTTCATCAAATTTCTTAACTTTCTTTGGATTTGATCTTGTTCTCATCGGACTTTCTTCAACTTCATGATGTCTTTTGTCAACTTTTGGACTCTTCTTTCTTTTGTCTGTTTTATGTTCTTCTTCAGATTCATCATAATCAATGTCACTTTTATGACTTTTGTCACGTTTATGGTTCTTGTCACTTTTATGATTTTTGTCACTTTTTGTGCTTTTAGTAGATTTTGATTTTTTATCTTCAACTGATTTCTTTGAAGATTTTGGTTGAGATTTCTTATTTTTAGATCTTGCTTCTTTAATCATTTGTTCCTTTTCTAGTCTAGCAGCTCTTCTAGATTGGATTCCAATGAATGGAGGAGGTTTAGAATCATCAGAATTTTCATTATCACTTGAACTGTTGTTTGAATCGAAATCATCGTCATCTTCATTATCTTCATCGTAACTTTCTTCAAAATCTTCATCTTCTGACATGTAAACGACTTTTGTCTTTGTCTTCTTTTTATTTTTAGGTTCTTGTTCTTCAGTTTCGCTTTCTTCGTATTCTTGTGATTTTGTTTTTGTTGGAGATCTCTTTGGCCTTGTTTTAGATTTGGAAGATGAAGGTGGAGAATAAGATCTAACAGGTCTTGATGATCTCCTGAGCATTTCATCATCCAAAGGATTGTTTCTTCTCGTGTTTCTAGTGCTCATGGCTCTCGATGTTTGGACTTCTCTCTCAGATGGTTCATTGTTTTCTTCAGATGAAACATCGTGTGTTGAATAACTTTGACTTTCTGATTCACTGTCAGAATGAGCAGCTAAAACAGGGGGTGTCACCATATCAAACCTATTAATTTGTTCAACAACAAGAACGTTACTTTCAAGGGATTGAGGAATTACATCCAAATCTGTATCGTTATTTTCATCTTCGTCTTCTTCTTCCTCTTCTGTTTGATTGTTATGATTTTGGGACCTTGTTTTCATTTGTTCGCCAATATTTGCTTCATTGGATTTCTTCTTCCATACTTCTGACAAATTCTTCTCTTCTTCAATAATCATGTTGTCAATTTTTGGCGGTTTTAACCTTAAATTCATATCTTTTAGGTTAAATCTTTTTGGCTGAGGCATCAAAGGATTTCCTTGCGAATCAACAATCTCTGTATCATTCAAACTAGCATCTGGATCGTTTTCCGCTCTGAAAAACATTTCTGTAGTTGTAAATTTTGTCACTTTTCCACACATAAACGCTGTTATTCCACCGCATTCATCAATTGCGTAAACAACTGAGCCATCGACCGACCAAATAGCGTCATTTACACGTCCACCTTCTTGTCCGAGTGTAAATGTCGCTAAAAGAGATCCGGATTCGATGTCCCAGATGGAGGACCGACCACTTTCTGTTCCGACGAAAACGATGTTTGGTAATTTCGGATGACAAGCGATTTTCGTGCAGTGGTCAGTGAATATTTGGTGATTAACGACACAAACTTGTCTTCTTGTGGCAATATCCCAGCTGTAGAGCCAGTTTAAAGATACACCAACTAATCTCGTGTCATCGCAATTGACAGAAGCCGAAACAAGCTTGTATTTGATGTTGTTCGGACATCTGACTGAGTAATTCATCTTGTGGCCCCATAAATTACCATCAGATGCGAACCATCCTCGTAATGCGCGTTCCTTTGTTGCTAGGGAGACAAGGAGATATGGACTTGTCCTGGCAAAGTAAACAAAGTCTGGCTGTTTGTAGTGACCAACTAAGGAAATTTTTTGTTGATGCTCAATGGAAACAACAACTAAGGCGCCTCCTTCGGCAGATATGGCAAGGAAGTTCCCGCCTGGACTGAAGGATACCCATGCGGCGGATTTCTGTATGCTGAAGTCGAAATTTAATTCGATTTTTTCATCTACGACGTTGAAGACTTTTATGATGCCCTCGTTACACGCAATGGCAAGGTATCGGCCACATGGTGAAAATCTGATCGATTGGATGCCGACATCGAGCTGTAAAGTCGAAATTAATTCGCCTCGGAAAAGAGAGAAAATATTGAGTCGTCCGTCGTAAGATGAAGATGCGAAGATATGATTTTGCGGATGAATGACAATTTCTGTGATTTCTTTGGTATGGCAGTTTAAAAATGATTTTATTAAAATTAATTCGGGGATTTTCCATACTTTGATGACGAAATCATCGGATCCTGTGATTAGTATTTGCGATGTATTATCAACGGCGATGCAGAAAGCTGAATCAAAGTGTCCAGAAATTCTATATGCGGGGAGAATCTTATGTAGGGGCGTAATCGGTTGGCCAAGGTTGTATGATAGCATATCCGATCGATTAAGTGTAGTCATTTGTTTTTGTTCGTTGAAAATTAAGCTTGGAAATTGGGAAGGTGGGCAAGAAAGGGTAATCAATCGAAGAAGTTGATCGTTCGGTATTCCTGAAAGCAAATGCTTGTCTAGAGTGTCGAAAGAAGGCTTGTTGAAGAAAACTCTAGATGGGAATAATCCTCTTTCTTCGCAGCCTTTGATAAATTTATCACCAAACTCTGGGAAATCTTGTTTAATAAACTTTGCAATCAGGAAGTACAACTCGCTTTGTACTTCCTGACTCATTTAATGGCCAATTTCTTTGATGCGACGATATGAAAAACAATTTTTTTATCCTGACAATTTGTTTTTAGACATTCAATTTTGAAGTTAAAATATACTTATCTTGGCTTTATATACCTAAATGATTCACGAAAACAAGAAAATCTTTAGAAAAATTTGAGATAATCTTGAAATCTGCATTTATTATAATAGCATATATTTTAGTGTTTAGTATTGTGTCAGTTCGGCACATTTATTAAGAAATAATTGCGAAAAATCAAAAATCCAGAATCATTCTATTTGTTGATTAATTAAGCATATCCCAAACCAGAAATCTGGATATTTACATTGGCATGAAACTGGAATTATTCAAAAATTCATTTACAATATTCAATTTACATAACGGCAAAGGTATACATTAAAAATAGGCCAGTTTGATCAATTTGTGCATTTAGATATCAAAACATTAGGTTTGACTTTAAACGTATCTCTATTTATTATTAAACAAATAAGATTTATGCAATAAATCTATTTCTGTAATGCAGCATGAATTATATATCCACCTGGAAACTGGTATTCGTTATATTTTTCGCAAGCTTCTTTTGCATTTTCAGTAGTTTCGAATGTAACTAAAAATGCATCATCAATCTGTTGAATTTCGTGAAATCCAGGTAATTTTGAAACTAAAAGTTTGGGAACTTGGATTGAAATCTTTGGAGGGAAACCCCAGAGTTTGATAACTGTGCTCTCTGGCTCTTCTTTCGCTTCTTCTTCCTCTTCTTGACGCGTTGAAAACGCATTGTAGAATTCCTCTAAGGATTTTGAGGGATTTTTAGAATATTCAATTTGTAATGCTTTCCCTAAAAATGGGAAATTGTTAAATTGTTTCATTATGATTTCTGCTGATTCCAAATTAGGAAATGAAACCCAAGCTTGCCCTCTTGATTGGCCTTTTCTTGCATTAATTTCCACAACTGGAGCTACTGAAGAGAACAAATAATATAAATTTCGTTTCAAATCATCAATGGGTATCTTGTCAGTTAAATTTCGCACAAATAGCGTTTGACTTGGAGCAATTGGTTTGGACATTATTAAGTGTCAGATTTAATGTTAGAAAATCGTCTTAAAAATATTCATTATCTAGGTGATATGTCTCCAACTTCAAAATCAAAAAAAAGGCTTGTCAGTGAATTTACCCTAAAAATATTTTGTCATTGGCAAAAATGTCATATGGCAAAAATTTGACAAAAAAAGGCTTTGGCAAAAATGTCATATGACACCCAGCAACTAAAGAAAATGACAAGGAATATTAGAATAATAAAATCTTCATTTATATTTATAAATAAAATTGAATTAAATTTGTCAAATTTTTATAATTCATTATTATAAATGTTGTTGGTGTTTGCTGCTCTTACATCATCCAAGATCCATCGAAGAAATTTATTGCCTAGGGTGTATTGCCATGCTCCGTTTTATTACAAACCTAAAAACTCATGGGGCGGTAGAATACCAATAGACCCAATAAGAGGTCCTGGTGGATGGGGATGGACACACCAAGAAGCAGAAGCTCAAAACGCTTGGGGTGATGAAAGATATGAAAAACTCATACCAGAGTTAGTATCCCTATGATGGGTACGGAGGCACTGCGCGCCTTCTTACTCATCATATGTGAATTTGACACTTTACGAAACCAGTAACGTATATTTTACAACACAACCATAACACCAACTTAACCTTAAATATTTACAAAACCATCTGACACATAAACGACTTCACTAACGAATTCACTACCGTCCTCACTAAATAAAAAATAACCTTATTTTTATTTTTTTTAATTTTTTATTTCATTACAAAGACATGTCCGACTACATTTACTATGACTCTTTCCCAGAACGTTTCCGTGAACTATTCAAAACTCAAGTAAAACTGAGAAACATGCATTTTAACAAAGACAGACCCATTGACGATGAAAGAAACCCTGAATATATTACAATCCCATATGACGCAAAGTTCATTGCATACATTCCTTATGGTCGCAGAGGAACGAAAACTATTTCAACAAAGAACAAAAATTATTTCTGGAGCGATGAAGAAAATTGCCTTATCTACATAAATGCATACTTAAATAAAGCTACATATTGTACAAAAGAAGGTTGGACTGGATTTGAGCTCTACATATACGACGACGATGGAAACAGACGCTGTGTATACCCATACGATAATATGTACCATTGTTTTCATCAAGCATTAAACGAATACATAGTCAGTAAGGGTCTCATTCCTGTTGAGTAGATATGCTTTATTTTTGTTCCCACATTTATATAAAAATTAATGATATCACCACCCTCACACGTATGAAAACATAGCACAAAAATAAATTTAGGTGAAGAGGTGAGATCTCACCTGTTTTCTCACCTGTTTTTTCACCCTGTTGAATTCATTGCTTTATAACTCTCTTCCTTGGTTTCTTTTTAGTTGCTTTCTTCACGTCTGTCTCCAACTTGACTGTCTTTCTTCTTCGTCCGTAATGATACCAGTTACTTCCACCAGTCAATGGGTCAAATGGTCTTTCGTAAGGGTTTCCATACATTCCATAGGGACCATATGGAAGAACTACTAGTGGAGAAGAAACATTTTCTTTAGTTCCATCGAATCTATTTAAATGCATTGTTTCACCTTTCATCTGGTCATTAAAGTCTTTTGCGTGTTTTGCAAACTCATCGTCCTTTCCTAAAGCATTTTCTGACTCAGTCGCAACCAAATTGGATGCTTTATTTATGAGCCCTATTTTATTTAATCTTAACTTCTTTGCAACCCAGCCTCCAATCTTCCCTTTATTTGCATCTAATGTCTTCGAAACCCTTCCTCCGCTCATTTTATTTACTGCGTCATAAGCTCCAAGTGCTTTTGCTCCAAATGCTAATGCTTTTGTTCCCATTGCGCCTAAAGCTGCCCAAGCTACCATTTACCCCATATTAAAATCATCTCTCTTCAATATTATCTCATAAAAGTTCTCGTTACTGGAGAAAGTCAATGAAACATAAACGTTCTCACGGGCTTCGCCCTCACCGCTTTGCAGTCTATCTAACTTCTTTCTTATATCATCTATACGCTTCAAAATGTCTGAACAATTGCTAACATCTTCTACAACAGTTATTTCATCATGAATGACCTTCAAGAACAAGCTCATTTAATATGCTATTAAAATCATCTCAATAATGAGTCCATCCTTTCCATCTTTAGGTAGCACAACATCTTTCATTGAAGAAGATTCGACAAGTCTTATGTTAAACTTACTGACAAAGTTTGTTATACTATAATGCTTTGGCGGCGAATACATATAGTTTGAAAGACATAATATAGATTCTTCAGCAAATTCACTTATACTGGATTTTATAACAATGTTCTCACGAGACCAAATACCACCAATTGACAATCTTGTAAGCAATCCTGCTGAACCTTCAACTGTAAACGTCGATGGTAACATTCCACGAAGGTCATCTATTGACATCGTTGAGTCACTGAATTTAAATATTTTCTTAAAGCAATCGTCATTATCTAACCATGCAATAGCTTTGAAGTTTTCATTCGAATATACATCTGCTTCATTAAATGTAAAACCTGACTTCTTTGCAGAGATGACTTTAAAATCTATTGAGTTTGTTTCAAAATTATATGCTATGGTAACTTCTGAAGGTAATGGATGTCCTTCCGCAGTCAGTTGTTCTCTCACTACCGTTTGAAGCTTTGTGTTAAAAACTTTCATGTCATCTCCTGTATCTAAGTTCACATACACAGCAACAGGGAAACTATCTTGCTTCTTTGTTTCATCATTATATCTCAAAACATTAAAGTTCTTCAATAATATTGTTCTTCCTGCTGGAATACTTCGAACCTGTCTGATTTCAATAGCTTTCTCACCTCCTACATACTCTACCCAGTGTCTTGGATATTCATAAGTATACTGACTTTCTTGAATTTTGGTTGGTTTCATCATAACATGTTCATAGTATATCTTTATACTCTTGTCAGTTAGACTCGGTGCTATGTTCTGAATATTTCTGACTTGCATTTTTAATGGAGATAAAATGAAGCATTTAATACATGACGTAGATGAAGACATGAATGAAACTACAGACAAACTTAACTCTTCTCTCATTCTTCCTTTCAGTAAGGACTATGAGTTCTGTTCAAATGGTGTTTATTTCTATTGTGGAAAGATGGGTTCAGGTAAGACATTTAACCTCATTCGTCATATACTCATAACAGAGCGTTTAGGAAACGACTCATATTATGACCAAATCATTATATCAGCAACTTCAGACTCTATGGACTCAACAGCGAAAACATTTATGTCAAAAGTTCAAGCCTCTGTCGTTAAAGTTCCAGACAGTGAACTCATTGAATTTCTTCAACGTTACATTCGACGTAAGAGGAAATATTATGCCATCGTGAATTTATACAGTCAGGAATGCAAAAGACTTCTGAGGAGATGGAAAGAATTATTGACAAACACCACTTACGTCAGTACTCAGGAGTTTACGATATGAAACGACTTACAAACTACATTCTATCAAAACTTTCAAAATACCCCTTCAAAAAATATCCTTCAAACACTCTGCTCGTGTGACGACTTCGCCGGAAAAGGTTTAGTGTCAAAGCCTGACTCACCATTAGCTAACATCATAACTAAAGTCAGACATTACCATTTAACTGTAGCAATACTTATGCAAACATGGAGGTTTTTAGCTTTAAACATAAAACGTCTCATAACTGACTTCGTTATCTTTCAAGGTTTCTCACGCTATGATATTGAACTCATTTGGAAACAGTCAGGTATAACATTACCTTTTGAAGAAATTTGGGAAGCATATAAGTCTCTCATCTCTCCTCGTTCATACCTTGAGATTCATATCATGACTAATACCATTAAAGTCAAAAATATTCCATGGGAACGACCAACATTGTTTTAAAGTTTAACCTTCAATTGACTGATGGTAAACAAATTCCATGCATCTCTGTCGCCATTTCTGTTAATATTTTTGCTGTCATTCATATCATCCACTTCCCCATCCGTTAGCTTTTGAGGATATGCGTTAGAATAGCTGTTCTTAAATGAAGGCTTTTCACCTTTGAGAGCATAAACTCTATAACTTTCTGCATACTTTATGTTTGAACCTCCTGAGCCATCATTGACATAAATTTTTATAGGCTTCCACCCTTTGTTCATGTTCCTGCTTCTTCCCTTAGCTCTTTTGTTCAGTAGTTCTACATCTTTATACACAGCACCTGTCTCAGTGAATTCAACAATATTTTCATTCGTTAGCTTTACATTCAAACCCTTGTCGAGTATATTGTTCATTTCATACATATAAAAGGTTTTTATTCTATATGAAATGAGAAGCAAATCCATCTTAGCTGGTGCCGTTAATGTTCCAATTGAACCAACATCAAATGTTGACTCACGAACGACAAACAATATTGTCATAAAGAACTATAGTTCAGAGTGTTTGAAAGAAAGAACCAGAGCTGAAATCCGTGAATTTAAACTCAGCTTCAAACGCTAACGCTACATCAGATGTTAAGTTAGAGTATCCACCACTGGACCAAATTCTTTCAAGAGAAGCCAACGACAACCCTTACACAAATGTTCAAACAAATCCTTCAGATAACGTAGACCATTACCTTCTTCAGTTATACCAAACAATTTTACTCAAAGACGATAAGAAGCTTTTGACAAATCTTATAAGCAAGAACCAAATAATTCTAACAAAGGAGGACCTTGAAAATGTTATATCACGAATAACAGGGAAACAATGTGTCATTGACTATCTCGACCCTGAAATCGAATGCTGTGGTCAAACGCCACTATTCATGAAAATAGGTAACATCCGCATCATTGAAACACCAGGAACTACAGGAGTTGAGTTTAAGTATAAATATTCGAACGAGTATACAAAACTTTCAACAGAATATAAACTTTGTTTGAAATATGTTTTAGTAAATTAAAGCAGTCAGGAGGGCTCTTTGAGCCCATCTTGGCGCTTTGCGCCGTCAGTCAAAAAAATTTCAAGTTAGCAATTTGTAATATCTATCCAAAACTTCTTCAACAGTATCGAACTCATCTTCATAATGCAAACCTAATCTTATTGACTTGGTGCAGTTTTCACTAACACAATATTTTTCTGTTCTCTTGACTGACATAACTAATTCATTTGTTTCATCAAACAGCAACAACCAAAGTTCATGACCTAATACATAACATTCATACTTTATATTTTTAGCTCTGAGTTCTCTTGTAAGCTGTTGCATTTAATATTTTCTAAAAAGTCAACTTCAACAGTCATTCGCACTGGTGCCTTCAGTTCTACAGGCTCTCCTTGAAAGTCAACAAGTCTGAATTGCATGTCTTTCAAATTATGAGGACTAATGCGAACCCATTTACCTAAATGAGTTGCTATGACAGGAACGTTTGGAATGAACATTGAATTGACTGCATAACGGAAGGATTTATATTCTACTGAACCTTTACTATTAACTCCTGAAATGCCTGTGACATTAGCTATTTTAGACTCAATGTATAAACAATTACCATAACATACGTATGGAACAGATTTCATCTCAATCGTTTTGTCAACACTTTTCAAAGGAAATGTCATATGGTATGCACCCAAAAGAAGTTGTACTCTATGACTCATTCTTGGTATCTTAAACTCCTTCGCATAACTGAACTTCAAAACTCCTGCAATAAGTTTAACATTCATTAAGTTTTCTTCGTTATCCTTGTTTATTGTAGTATTTATGAGAGCATTTAACACTCCAGCTAATGTTTCCATCTTATATTCTACATTATTGTGAAATCTTATTTCGTGCTTCTTTCCATCTATTTCAATCTCCATGAAATCTGTTTCATCTGTTATAACGAATGAAGCGATAGTATTGAAGTCAACCATTCTGAATGCAAGCGCCTCATTCTGTAGACCTAAGTTTGTTTGTAGCTTTACTGTCCCGTATTCGTTTGGGTCTGTACTTTGCAAATAGAACAACATTTTATTCTCATTAAAATATGAGTATAGCTGCATATGCGTATGAAGCTGACAGAGCTAAACGTTTATATTTTGGTCAATACTCTCTCACACTTACTGACAAATATATTGTTATCACTGATGGAAATACTGAGAAATACATAACATGGAAGGACTATGAAAAGTTTGACCCTATTTTAACTCCATGTACTATGCCGTTTATAAAGGACGGTGAAATTATTGAAAAAGATAATACAACCGTATATAGGTCTGTTTATGAAGCATTAGAATATATGTTGAATCATAACCCAAAAAGATTTGACCCAAGCACTACACCATGTGCAATGCCTTTTATTAAGGACGGTGAAATCGTAAGAGTTCCGGATTCAACGGTTTACACAGCTGTTCAAAACAGTTTACAAAACATTTTAGCGAATATCTTTAATTCAGAAACTACAGAAATAAAATTACCGTATATAACAGATGCTAAAGAAATTAAATCAAAAACGACAACATTATTTACGTCACTTAATGATTTAATGACTTATATCATTAATATTCCTGCACCAACTACAGCATTTGATCCAAACTCGACGGTTTGCAGTGTACCTTTCATAAATGACAGTTCATTAATTACTTTAAGGGATTCGACAGTAAATGAATCATTAAAGGCGTCATTAATGAAAATCATTGATTTTAACTCATTCACGAATACATATAATTCATTCATTAATGTTTCATATGCTTCTAAAGAAGGTGAGCCAAAAACTATCGATAAAGCGGTGTATGAAATAAAAGCATCAACGACGAAATTGAATTCGTTAACTTTTGACGGTGATAGTTTCGTTAATGACATAACATCGGGGAAAACAATTTTAACGAAAGAATACTTAAAATCTCATGTTAGTGAGTTCGTTGAAATTGAAAAAGAAGGTGGAATTAAGTTCGATCCACTGAATTTCATTTTCAGCTTAGCGAATGCGGGTGTTAGTTTCGCTGAATGGACAACTATACAGAGTGAAATAAATGCAATATGGACGTTTTTGGGGTCAAAAGCGGGAATGGGTGAGCTTGTAAATGCTGCAAGAACATTAGGTGAAACAGGAAATTTTGTAGATGGTTTTAAAAGACTTGTTTCAAATGTTTTAACAAACACAAAGAAATTATTTAGATATACCGTACATAACGGACGGATTTTCGAACATATAGCAACAAACCCTCCGGTTATGGCTGCGTTGATGATGGTTAGAGATATAAAACCACGTAACGACGGGAACGAAGAACATGAACAACAGGATACTGGTCGGGTTATTCGAGACATTAAAAACGTGTATCCTGAAGTTATTGATTTATTTAGAGGAGTTAATGATTCAATTTCAAAACATTCTATAACCCTCGATGAAGAGAATAAATTAACAGATTATATATTCGTCATTATTGCAGAATTAATGAAGAGAATAAATGAAAAAGGAATTGGTGATATCATTAATGTCAGCGATGTAATGATGAAAAGAAATTTTGACTCATTATTTACAAAACCGAAAACAGAATATAGTCTTTATGACGTAATTACCGAATTAATGAAAAAGATTAATGATAATAAGAGTTCTGGCGGAAGAGTTGAATTAGAAGTGAATGATGTTAATGAGAAATTAGCCGAAAAAGCAGACAAAAATGAGCTTTTAGCTCTGAGTGATAAAGTCAAGAACCACGTTCATTATATAACTTCAGACGAACAGATTATAACGGACTACCATGGATATTTAACACAGGATGAAAAAGTGAAGACGGAAGATGTTAATGAAAGAAGATATAAATTCATTCGTGCTAAAGGTTATGACATAAGCTGTACTGTACAGTATGACACATGTAAAGCACAAGAAACATTTGGTTATAACGATGAAATTTATGCCTCATACTTCTTTGTTAACGGTGTATTAGTTGAACCAAGATTTACATTGAGAGTTAAGACAAAAATAACGTTTGAAGATGCTATTAAAAGTAAAGCTGACAAAGTTGAACTCGAAGCAATGAACAAAGTTTTGAAATCTCATAAACACAATATCTCCGATATAAATGAACTTCAAGCTACATTAGACAGTAAAGCTGACAAAGAACATACACATAAATCCTTCACTACTGTTAGAGCAGACGACATAATATTGAACTATACCTTTGGTTCAAGTGCACCTTTAGAGAATCCAAGTACAAGCGTAAAAGATACACTAAACTCCTTAAATAGTAAATGTATGAACATTGAAGGTCATGTCAGAAACTTTGAAACACATGAACTACCAGCAATGTTAGATAAGAAAGCAGATAAAGAACATACACATAACTCCTTCTCAACTGTTGCTATAGAAAGTATTGAAGGAACGGTTGACGGAACTGGTGGGGATGCATTATATTATAAACCTTCTAACTTTCCACAAGGTTTAACATCGAATGAAAACATAACAACGAAGAAAGAAATTAGCTGTAAAAATGTTTATGTCATGGATGATGAAAATAATGTTAAATTCACTGCTCTAGATTTATATGATAAGAAAGCAGACAAAACAGAGCTTCAAACATTAAAGACTGAAATACTTCAAACATTATATCCTCCTGGTTCTATTTATACGTCAATGAATTCAACAAATCCAGCAACAGTTTTAGGTTTTGGTGAATGGAAGCAGATTGTAAACAAATTCTTATACTGTGCTAACTCTTCAAAACAAGCCGGTGGTTCAAAGAAAATTAAAGAAGCAAACCTTCCACCGCACACTCATACAGGAACTACAAACACAACAGGTAGTCATTCACATTCAATAACAAAAAGAGGTTATACAAATCTTGCAGCAGGTTCGGATAGACAGGGAATGCATAGATATGATATTTCAAGTGACCCAGTAGATTCAAGCGCAGGTATTTTCTGTGGAACCACAGGAAATCATTCACACACTTTCACAACAAATCCAACAGGCTCGGGTGAAGATTATATGCCACCATTTATGACTGTATTTGCATGGTATAGAGTTCAATGAACGCGCTTGAGCCTAGAATAAAATCTTTAACTTTACATAAATGAGCTTGAAAGAAGTATTCGAACAACATCCATGGAGGTCATTTAAGAAGTTCAATGAAGCTGCAAAGAGTTGGGGATTTACTAACAGAGCTGAAGTGAAAAGGTTCTTTGACAAAAATGTTGTACATCAAACAAAAATAAACCCTTACGACTACTTTTTACCAATTTACTCCAACACGCCTGACGCATACCAATTTGACACTCTCATTCAAAGCAGAAAAGGAGGACATAACCCATTCCTCATCTTCATTAATGTTAACACTCGTAAAGCTTTTGCGTATATAATGAAAAATAAAGGAACTCGTGAAGTGTTAAGAGTTTTACAAAAGTTTGTAGCAGAACATAGCCCAAGTACTTTAACATCAGACCAAGACAGTGCATACCTCAGCAATGAAATCACAGAATTTCTCATTAAGCATAACATAACTCACTACACTACTGAAGACCATAACCATAACATACTCGGCATCATAAACCGCTTCATAAGGACGCTCAGAGATTTAAACCAAGAGCGAGACTTTACCGAAGAAACAATGAAACATTTTCTCGAAGTATATAATTCCTCAACGCATTCTACAACAGGCCATACACCAAATTCAATGACACAACAACAAGAAGAAAAGTATATACAAAAGAAACGAAGTCAAACACAAAATATCAGAAATTCAACACAATTTACCCTCATTCCTGGAACAAAAGTTCGTGTAGTTCTTGACGACAAACCGTTGACAAAGAAACGTTTAAGGTTAAGTAGAAACTATTATATCGTAGACTCTACGCAAGGTAATGGATATCTTATAAAAGCTGCTGACGACTCTATTGCGTTTTACCCTCGACATAAATTAGTTGAAAGTAGTAATGGCAAACTTGCTGAAACCATTGACGAAGCAAAGCGAGGAGTGGTTATTGAAATACTTGGCTACAACATAAACGATGACACTTATAAAGTAAGATATGAAGGAGGCGTTGAAGATGTTATACCATCTAAGAACTTGAGAGAGTCAAAGCCAACACATCTGGGACCATTAGAGCGGGAGTACTGGAAAGACAAAAATAAGCCAGAAAGAATAAGAAAATTCTTCTAAACTTTTTCATTAGATGTAAATCAGACAAAAATAATGTTTAGGTGAAGAGGTGAGATCTCACCTCTTTTTTCACCTCTTTTTTCACCCTCGTGAATTTTCATGAATGTTTTCACTGTTACCATGTTACCATGTGCTACCAGGTTAATTAACTTCTCTTAAAAATGATGACAACATGACATTTTGACAACAGTCCAGGAAATAAATGTTTACGTTAATGTTTACGTTTATGTTTCGTAAATGTTTTCATGAATTTCCTTAAGATAGAAAAATAAAGTTAGTTTTATTTTTATTTATTTTTTATTTTGTATAAAAGATATGATTTCAACAATCGGCACAACAACAATTCAAACAACTACAGCACCAAACTCGTTAGTCATGAATCCTACGTCAATGTTGGTAGAGATGAAAAGCTTTATTCCTTCTTCATATACTTTTGAAACAGAAATCCAGAAGATAAAGCAAGAACTTTTAACAAGTAATTTAGACTGTACCGCACAGGATGAAACAAATGAACAGTATCTTTATGACATGCAGGACATTATTGACCATTTACCCAAATTGCCTGAAGTTCAGCAGCAAAAACTAACTATTCCTGAATTCGACGAAATTGAAGTTAAAGTTACTGATTCAGTAGAAATAAAGAAATTCATACGTAAAGTAAATTATGAATTCCTTGGTTTTCATTGCAACCATAAAGTTATGGACAAAGATTGCGACATGGTTTATAAAAATATTTCTGACATATATAAATCGGTGGAGTTTAAGACATACGACAACTTTGTTTCGTTAGTTGCTGAATGTGTTTGGGAAATAAGAGATAAAGATAGAAGAGACAAAGTATGGAACGAACAAATAAGACCCGCTATGTTTGAGATTAAGAGAGCAATTGACGCTTTAGTTGTTTTAGCTGGTAATGTTTCAATGTATAACGCAAAAACGATGCCGCAATGTTCAAAATGTAAAGCAGCAATAAGAAAATATAACTACTCAGTCAAAGAGATAGAAAGAATGCGAAACGACTATGCAGACTTAAAGAAAGAAGCAGAAAAGCCAGCAGAAGATAAAATGGATATGTTGACATTTCTTAATAAAAACTATCCAACTGCTGACGATTTCCTTCTGTCTGACGTCAAGAAGAAGTATAAAGAAACCTTCGGCATTGTTAAAACTTTTGATATCCTCAGCGAAGAAATAGAAGCTACAAAACTGTTTAGGATTTCAAATATACATCGTACAATTCATGTAAAACGCTTATAAAATAACTGGGGTGAAAAAACAGGTGAAAAAGAGGTGAGATCTCACCTCTTCACCTAAATTATATTTTTGGTCATTTACAATGAAGTCTTGACAAAACATGGAATCTCTTCCCTCGGAAAACCGAGAGGAGCAATCATATGACAAAGTCTTGACAAAACATTTAAGTTCGATGAAGTCTTGAAAATTCACGAGGGTGAAAAAAGAGGTGAAAAAACAGGTGAAATCTCACCTCTTCACCTAAAATATATTTTTATTGAATTCAGCAACAAAAATCATGAATTTCCTTAAGACAGAAAAAATAAAGTTAGTTTTATTTTTATTTATTTTTTTATTTTGTATGTAAGAACAGATATGTCAAACATTGAGTTTGAAACAGTTAGAAAGAGAGACAATGACACCAAAGTGGTTAGAATAGGTGATTTAAACGTAAGATACTCAAAGAAATACAACAAATATTCTTTGTCAGACATTATATCTCCATCTGAAAAGAAAACAAACCACTGGGTTAGAAATGCTTCAACTCAGAAAATTTTGACAAGAAATCCTGAGCTTATGATATCAGTAGCATTTCATGGAACAAGAGCATATCTTATAGACAAAAGTCTTATACCAATAGTTTTGTTATGGTTAGACCCAGTTGTTGGATATAACTTCATAACATATGGTTCATTCGATACGGAACGTTGCAGTGAAGGCTTACTTTACATCGTTCAGAAACCGAAGGACTTCAATACAAAAAGATATAAGATAGGAAGGACATATAATATAACTCAAAGATATGACTCTACAGTCAATAGAGTCAAGGTTGTGTTTGTTAATGATATGAGAGCTGCTGAAACAGAACTGCTTGAAGTTTTTGAGAAAATGTATGGTGCTCCCACGAAAGGTAAAGAAACGTTTGAAGTAGATGAGATAGATAAAGCTATAAAATTATTTGACGAAGTTGCTGAAAAATACATGTAAAGCGTTTATTTTTGGTCTTTTGTGAAAGTCAGAAAATAACGCTAATTTTTTCTAACAAATTTTTTTATTTTGTATGTAAAGACAGTAATGTCAACATTAGAGAACACAACAACAGTTATAGTCCATGAAGCTATAAATGAAGAATATGAATACATACAGTATAACAAACAACTTCGCCTCATTCGTTCGGTCAAAGATGACATGTACCAAATGCAAAGTATAATGAATGCTCTTCGTTCTACAAAGCAAGCATATCATTGGTTTGAAAACCAACAGACAAAAGAACTTTTAGAAGAATTTCCTCGTATGATTGCTTCCCTCGGAAAACCGAGGGAAGAGATTCCGTATGAAAATCGCAAGAATTTGGCTCCTGGTTTGAAAGGTTATTATGTTCATAGACTTTTAGTAAATGCTGTAGCAATGTGGGCTTCACCTCGTTATGCTTGTTATATTTTCATGATGTTAGATGAACTATATAAAGCAGAACGTGGAGAGATGGAAAAGAAACTTCAAGCAAAAGATGAAGTCATTGAATCCAAAGACAAAAGCATACAGAAAAGAATACCACGTTCGGTACCAAAAGGAAAGGAAAAGAACTATAAGTATATGATTTATACTGAAGAGATGGAAAATGAAGAAGATAAAGATATGGTTATGTTGCATTTAGTCAGAAGAAACAACAAAAGCTTTTACGACCTTGCTAAGATATATAAATCTGACAGAAACTGGTTCTATCGTGAAAACTTACCGATTTCAATGACACCGAATGAACAAATAAAGGAAATTGTCAAAAATACTCTTCCTCAAACACACTATGACATCAAAGGTTGCACAATACTTACATTCAAAGAAGACTTAACATTACTGAAGGAAAAAATAACAGAATATTTCGACAACTTCAAAGAGGAAGAATGAAGTCACGACAACATTAACGAAGAGAGAATGAGGTGAAAAAAGAGGTGAAAAAAGAGGTGAGATCTCACCTCTTCACCAAAAATAAATTTCATTTTTCAGCATTATTTTTGCATTTTGACACGAAGTGAAGATTTACACTTCGTCAAAATGTGATGTCATGTTGTCTCATTTTTCAGAGAAGTTAATTAACCGAGTGACACATGGTGACGTAGTGACACCTTCAGTTCTTCAAAAATAAATTTTCTTATAAAGCTTCAGGGTCTATTTCTTCAACCATTTCACTTCCTTCGTCAATGTCAATAGAAGCTTCTTCAACCTTTGGTAAGAATTTCTGTATAACATCTTTGTTCGTTATTGTCTTCAGAGATGAAGAATAATATTTCACAGATGTTTCACCCTTCTTATATTCTTTCTGTTCGGAAAGATTCATAGCAATACTGAAGAAGTCAATATTAGAGTTCTTTATAACAGTATAATGAGTATCTTTGACATTCACGAAGAAACTCTTTTGTTTCAAAACTACTGCTAACTCTTGTGAAGTATAACGTTTGCGGTCAATGACGATAGCTAATGGTCTGACATACTGACCAAACTTAGATTCTTTCACAAACTTCTTGTTAAAGATAACATTAACATTTGAAGCATTATTGAACTCATTCTTGATGGCAGTAGCGAGAGCATTGTATGAAAAGAACTTGCAATCTTGCATGTGTTTCATTAAAATAAAAATATTAAATTATTTTGAAAAATAACTTTAAAAAATCTAATCTAATTTTTTCAAAAAAATATTTTTTATTTCCTACTAAAGATGTATCGGAAGTTGTCTAAGTTAGAACACTCGGAAATAAAACAACTTCTTACAGAAGCTAACATAGATGTTGCAAAACATTACGCGACAAACAAAAAAGCACTCGCTGACATCCTCAATGACTATAATGGTGCAATAAGTTATGATAGAATTCATGAGTTCATAAAGCCGCAACGCGGCGAGGACGAAGTCCATGCAAGAGCATTTCCTTTAAATGACATTGCTATTGACTTATATCATAGACGTTCAGTACCTCATGAAGTAAGGCGTGAGATGTTTGACATAACAAATGCAAACGTTGGTGAAACACGAAAGAGAGACGACACACTGAAACAACAGAGAAGAGAGATGTTTAAGAGCGCTATAGAACAAGTTCGCAAAGCTAACGATGTCATTCGTTCCATTGACGACAAACCAAAAGAAGGTGAGAGATGGTTAAAGAAAGATGAAGAGAATAGGAAGAGAAATGTGAAGTCAGGCAATAGACTCATTGACTTTAACATCGAAGCTTTAGATGAACCAAACAGAGACTACTTACACAAACATTTTGGTAAGGTTTTCATGAGACTCTTAGAGAAAATTAAAATAAACTCACAACAGAGATGGATGGTATGTTATAAACTTGGTGGAAAGTATGAATGTTCTACGTTAAACCTCAATAATATTGGAACATTACTACATCAGCTCTTGAAGGAGAACTTTATATCAGAGATAGAAGCAAATGCTGCAGGTATTGTTGAAATGCACTATGACTTCTTCTTGACAAACATAAAGAATCTTACCGAAATAAAGATGTATGATTTAACAGAATATGAAGGCTTAACGATGTCAGATGTAAAGAAAGGCAAACCAAAAAAGAGACCATATAGAGATGAAAGCACACTGACAGAAAGACAGAAAAGATTATTGAACAGACTTAAACAAACAGGAGATAAACAAGATATAGATGACTTCTGGAATGAAATCCTTGGTGAAAAGAAGTTTTATAAGAAAAGAAGCGGTCAGTTCTGGAAGTATCTTTGCACATTACCTATAAATCTTGAACGCTACCAAATCTTCAATGAACTGAACAAAAGAACTGCAGCACTTATGACAGAAGACAATTGTTTCGTTTATGCTTGCATTCAGGCTGGAGTAGATGGAGAGACTATTGACCACATGAGAGAAGTCATTCGTGTTAGAGACTTTCCTCAAAGTAAAGTACAAGAAATTTCTGACGCAACAGGTATAGCATTTAATGTTACCATTGGTTATTTCAATGACTCAAGACATAATGAAATAAAGAGATACATACCAAAAGAATGTGAAACTGCTCGAACTATTGACTTACTTCTTGTTGAAGACCACTACATGCTAAATGAAAGACTTCCAATGACAACATATTTCATTCGCAACTATATAGAAATTCTCAAAGCTTGTGGTGGAATGAACATTGAGAAACAAATGAAGATTTATACAAAGAGAGAAGATAAATATGTAGTTCGTTATGTTATGATAGAACAACACCGTTATGGGATGTTATGAAAACATTGTGGGAGTGCAAATATTTCGAACCTATTTCTTATGGAGAACTTTTCACATATACTACTGACTTATATAAACAGAACCTTGCACCATTTAAAGACTTGTCATATGCTCCAAAGTATTGTGTACAACTGAAGAAGAAAGCCGAGTCAAAAGAAGTAAATAAAAATAAGTGCAAGTTCATTCCTGAGCACGTTTTCTTTGCTGACTTTGAGTGCAGTACCGATGGCTTTCATAAAGCCTTTAACATATGTTATGACAGTGAAGATGGTTCTGTGAGTGAAAGCATTTGGGGTCAGAACTGTGCAACAGAATTTTTGGAACGACTTCCTGACAAGAGTTTAATATAGGGTGTCCAAAGGTGTGTTTAGCACAAACTTGAATACTGCGAATAGAAATAAACAAGTTACATATATATAAAGTTTATTTAAATATAATCACCATTGGATTCAATCACGCGTTCGCAGCGATCGATCCAGGCTTGAAAGACACGCTTTAAATCATCATAAGAAAATTGCTCAAATTGCTCTCTTACAAAATTTTCAAGATCATCTGGACTCGCGAATTCGCGTCCTTCAGCTCTCTTTTTTAGCGTGCCGAATAAATAAAAGTCAGAGGGTGCAATATCAGGTGAATAAATTGGGTTTGGAACAACTTTGACATTGTTTTCCACCAAGTAATTCATTACCTTATGACTTTTGTGAACTCTTGAATTATCAAAATGAATTGCAAACTTTTGTTTTTGTTGTTTGGATTTCTCAAACTCATCAGAATTGATAATTTGAGTAAGAACATTGTCAATTAGATACTGAGCATTCATCGTATTAGGTTTTTGAAGAATATCAATTGCGATGATGCCATTCACGCCCCAAAAAACCGACAACATCATCATTGGTGTGTCAATTTTTTTCTTCGGGAATGTTTGTGGATTTTCATCCTTCGGGATCCACATGGTTTTGGCTTCTGTTGCATACTGAAACCAAGACTCGTCCCCTGTTACTAAAAAGCGAAACTTCTTGGATTGATACGCACCCAATATAGAGAGGAGCTCTTTCGAAGATTGGACTCTAGATTTTTTTTGAACTGAATTAAGGTTGTGCGGAACCCAACGTGTATACGCTAGTTTGTAGTTCAAATAATTGTGCAGATAATAACTGACTGTTGTACGTGATATCTTTGTCATCTCCTCTATCCTTCTGAGTGATGCTCTTGGGTCTTCATCTAGCGCTTGAAGAATTGCTTTGATTTTTCTTTGATCCGGCGATTTTTTGTCAATTTTTATGATGGGCGCCTTTTTGTTCATGAAGTGATACATCCTAACATGATACGTTACAGTGGAATAGCTAGGAGCATCCATACCGAAGCATTTTACCAATGTCTCGTAGATTTTTTTACAGTCTTTGCATTTTTTTGCAAGAGCGAGGATGTTTTCTTTATGATTCATTAAAAAAATGAAAAAAATCCCGCTAAAATTTCCCGCGAAACCGCCTCTTGTCTCAAAATTCATTTTATATCCCGGCATGGCGCCAAAATACAACATACTCATCATATACATATATTCATATTTTTATTATATATTTATAATCAGCATATATCTCCTTTAATAGTCTCATATAGAGCGCTGTGCTAAACGCACCTTTGGACACCCTATATATTTCCATAACCTCAGTTATGATATAAACTTCATCTTAAGACACATGACAGAAGTGAAAGGAACTCCCATCATTAAAGGTTCACGAACAATGCAAATAACTGGCTTATATAAAGGAAGGGCAATTATTATAAAAGACTCTTACAGTGTTATAAATAAGAAGCTTAAACTATTTCCTGCTATGTTTAACTTACAAACAGGACCGAAAGAAGTATTTCCATACAACTACTACAGCAGTGTTTTGTTAGCAAATGACAACAGAACTGGTGTCATTTCTGAAGCATGTAAGTTTATCCAGGATGCGAATACATTCATGAAAAACATAGATTCCATCAAAGGTTGCAGAATAGATGAGAACCACTTCGACTTAGAAAAGTATAGCACATTTTATTGCAAACAAGATGTAAGAATTTTAAGAGAAGGTTTTGTTAAGTTCCGCAATGACATATTGAAAGAATTTGATTTAAACGTTTATGACTACGTTAGTATTTGTTCTATTGCTAACAAATTGTTTGAGAACAGAGTGTACTTCCCGAATGGAAATTTATATGACCTCTCAAATAAACCAAGAGAATTTATTTCACGCTGTATTCAAGGTGGAAGATGTATGCTGTCAGATAACATTAAACAAAAGAGCGAAAAGAAACTCATTGCTGATTTCGACTCTGTTTCATTATATCCATCAGCTATAGCAAGACTTTATACTTTAGAAGGTATTCCGAAAGTATTGAAGAAAGAAATGTTAAGCACAGAGTTTCTCATGAGACATTTATTCGATGACGACCAAAAGGAACCCATTGGTGAAAAGTTTATGTCAGGCTTCTTTGTTCTCATTAAGATAACAGAGATTGGAATACATAGACACTTTCCTTTAATAGTTTGTGACCCTGAATTAAATCCAGAACTTAACGTTCCCAGAAGTTCAAACACTTGCTGTTTAATGTATGTTGACCATATAACATTACAAGACCTCATAAAATATCAAGGTGTCAAATGTGAAGTGTTGCAAGGATACTATTACGATGGAAACAGAGATATTAGAATAAGAGATGAAGTAAAGAAGTTGTTTGAGTTAAGGTTAAAGTATAAGAAAGAAGGAAATCCTTTGCAAGAAAATATAAAGCTCATTCTGAACAGTATTTATGGCAAAACTATTATATCTCCTATTGAGTCAAAAATAACCATAGTAAATGACAAAGATGCTATAAGATATGCTATAAGAAACTACAACCATATAGTGAAGTTCGAAGGTTTGGATGGTTCGGATAAAACTATTTTCAAGCTAACGAAAAGCATTTGCAGACACTTTAACTTCTGTCCACTTGGTGTTAACATTCTGTCAATGTCAAAACGTATTATGAATGAAGTATTCTGTACTGCAGAAGATATGGGACTTCAAATCTTCTACCAGGACTGTGATAGCATGCATATTTTCAATGAAGACATACCAAAGCTTGCAGCAGAGTTTAAGAAGAGATACGGTAGAGAACTTATAGGAAAGAACCTTGGTCAATTTCATTCTGACTTCGCAGAAATAACACCTGGAAAACAAAGTTTAGCATACAAGTCAATATTTTGTGGAAAGAAGACTTACATAGACTTACTCACGAATGATTTAAATGAAGTTGCATTTCATGCACGTTGCAAAGGTGTCAAACAAGACGTTCTTGCTTTAACTGCTAATGAAATGTTTCCTGAAGCTATACAATGCTATTACAATGAAGATAAGAACATTCACATACCTGTTGGAACATATGACAAAGACTCTGAGTTCAGTTTAATGAAACTTTACAAAGCACTTTATGACGGTCAAGAGATTGGATTTGACTTATGTAAGTCTGCTACACCTGCATTTGAAGAGAAGTTTAACTTCTCAATTACGACTAAAACAAGCTTTATTCGTAAGTTGAAGTTCTGAGGTCATTTATTTTTGTCAGCAATGAGGTCATTCGTGATAAAAATAAGCCGCTAGCGGCAAGGGCGAAGCCCATGAGGTCATATATTTTTGTCATTTATGTATAACCATTGTCTCTCTTAAACTTTGCAATAGACAGCTTTGTTCTTCTTCCTTCTACATCTGTAATATTTATATAATCTTTGTTATACTGTCTTAAAACATTCATTCGTCTGTATTGAGTTCCCATGAAATAGTAAAAGGCATCTTCATTGGGACATAGTAGTAGTTCTCTAACGTGTGATATGAGTATTGTATAATTTCAACAGCGTCTTCAGGAAGAGAGTCAACAATGTCAAACCAATAGCCATTTGAACCAGAAATATTTCTCATGTTTTCTCTTCTTGTCGTCCATCTTAAGTTCGAGATATGAAAGTCTCCTCTGTCTCTGTTTATATGGTCTACTTCACGAAGTCCTTCAGGGTTCGGAATGAAAGTTTCTGCAACTATTCTATGTTTCATCAGCTTGTGTTTGTTTAAATTTACACAAATATAACCATCTCCTTGGTCAAACTCACTAACAACTCTTTTATTGCTTATACGTCTAATTGGATAAGGGTACTCTGAAAAGATTTCATAGTCATTGTCATGTTCGAGTGTTTGCCAATGTCCTTCACCTTCCATGCCTTTCACTCAAATAAAATTTTCAGAAAAAAATAAAACTAGCGTAGATTTTACAATACAGCTATTGTAGAATTTAAGAGTTGTGCTTCAATGTAGAGACAGTCCTTATGGTCTGGAGGTAAGAACACTGGGCAGTTATGGTCATGAGTGGAGAACATGTCTATCCAAAACTCACGATTGAAGCCAGTTAATTTATAGTATTTAGGGTTAGGAAGTGGTGAAGTTCTTGTATGACCAATGAACTCATTTTCAACTCCCTTACTTAAGTTTGAATATAATATAGCTTGCTTTCTATCCCAAATGCCAGGTGTTACAATCTTTGAAAATTCATTTTTCCTCGGAAGCATTGCATCATAATTGAAAACATTCTTGAAATCATCACTTGGTTCAGAGATTTGAAATCTTATACGTAATGGATTTTCTTTCTCTTTAGCGACTTCATTGAATGGTGAATACAACAAACTGACAGTCATGTTCCATCTTCATTTTCATTAAATTCATAATGAAAGTCTATAAGTTGTGGCTGACTACCTTCTTCTTTCAGTTGTGCAAGAAACTCACGTAAAGGCTGTAAAGTTTGTACTTCAATGTTGAACTTTTTCTCGAACATCTCATTAAATGAAATCATACATTGTTGCAATGTTGTATCGTCTTTAAAGTATTTGTATATGTGAATGTTTTGGGCGCTTAAAGACTGTTCGTCATTTTCTATCTCGACTTGAAGTATAAAGTCAACCTTTCTGAAAGCACGTGTTATATACATAGATGTTATGCCAATGTACTTCTCTTCATTTATGTTCACAATCCAGTCTGTTGGAAACTTAAACGTTACTCTGTTCCCCTTTATTTTGACGTCAGGGTTTTCACTACTGAACGCAACAGATAAAGGTATTTGTCTATACATTTAATTCGATAAAAATAAACCATTTACTCTTTCTTTGCTTCAGCTTTTTAGCTTTTGCTTCAGCTTCTTCTCTAGCTTTCTTCGCCAGCAAACGTGGGTTCTTCTGTCTTCCAGCAGCTAATGCAGCAAGTTGTTTTTCACTAAGTTTTCTCTTTGGTCTCTCTGGATTTTGTTCTTGTTTTTGTTCCTTCAGTTCGGATAAAATTTGCTCACGAATTTCTTTCTTCAATGCTTCAACATCTATGACCCCTTGGGTCTTGTCCGTAGGGCTTGTCTGAGTCATTTGACTGCAGATAAAAAACAAAATTAAAACTTTAACCGATGTAAAATGAGCTTGTCAAAATCAGAGCGAGAGTCTATTATATTAAATGACGCAAGAGGAATACAACATCCTTTCTATTACGTAAGTCAGAGTAAAGATGGTAAAATATACGTAAGAAAAAGAAAGGTTCCATTAGCGAATGCAGAAAGCGATAACATTAAGGTGTATGACAAGGGTGAAGTCCATATAAAACCTTCTGTTCAAACTGAGCCACCAAAAGAACAAGAAGAAAAGAAGCCAGATGTACTTTCAATAACGAACCAAGAGCTTATTGCAAAGTTTGTGAATTTCATTGAAAAACAAACCGAGTCAAAGAACCCTGACCCGCCAGTGAAAGAAGTTGAGACAAAAGAGAATGTACAGTTCATTGAAAATGTCAAGAAACAACTTCCACCACGAATGCCAAGAAGAAGAGTGAGAATAATGAAGTAAATAGATATTTTTATCTGAAGTAAATACATGCAGAACGAACAGCTAAACGAATTTACTCCAGCAGAGCATATTCATCAGATTCGCTCATATTTCGATATCATAGACAATGCAGTTCAAATTGGTGACACTAATAGAAAATATTCTGACGCAAAGATTCCATCACAACCTGGAACTGCTAAAGATAACACATGGGTAACATTCAATCTCTCACCTAGTTAGTATGGTTAACTTGGGTACGGCGGCACTGCGTTCCACCTTACCCAACTTAACCTTAAATATTTACAAAACCATCTGACACATAAATGACTTCACTAATGACTTCACTAACGACTTCACTAATGAAAAAATAAACGTTCTCACTAACGTTCCCACTAATGTTCTCATTTACAAAAGTATTGCAGCGCTTCCCATTGCTGTGCTTCACACAATAGTTCATATTCTTCAGTATCGCTGCTGTCACTCCAATCGTCAGAGTCAAAGTCACTGTCAAAATAAATGTTAGTAAGTTTTGACAAAGCTAATGAAACACGCTTACCATTTGTATCTATTGCTTTTATATATCTCCCATTATGTTTGTTGTCATAAACGCTCAAACTAACTTTACCCTTTCTCCCTCGTATCTGATAGAATGTATTTTCACGAGGAACGAAGAACAAATTCTTGAACTCATGACCGTTGTAGTTTGTTATCTCAATAGTTTTCGTCATTTATATAAAAATAAAATAAAAAATGAACTTAAAAATAAATGATATCACCACCCTCACACGTATGAAAACATAGCACAAAAATAAATTTAGGTGAAGTGGTGAGATCTCACCTCTTTTTTCACCTCTTTTTTCACCCACTTGAATTCATTGCTTTATAACTCTCTTCCTTGGTTTCTTTTTAGTTGCTTTCTTCACGTCTGTCTCCAACTTGACTGTCTTTCTTCTTCGTCCGTAATGATACCAATTACTTCCACCAGTCAATGGGTCAAATGGTCTTTCGTAAGGGTTTCCATACATTCCATAGGGACCATACGGAAGAACTACTAGTGGAGAAGAAACATTTTCTTTAGTTCCATCGACTCTATTTAAATGCATTGTTTCACCTTTCATCTGGTCATTAAAGTCTTTTGCGTGTTTTGCAAACTCATCGTCCTTTCCTAAAGCATTTTCTGACTCAGTCGCAACCAAATTGGATGCTTTATTTATGAGCCCTATTTTATTTAATCTTAACTTCTTTGCAACCCAGCCTCCAATCTTCCCTTTATTTGCATCTAATGTCTTCGAAACCCTTCCTCCACTCATTTTATTTACTGCGTCATAAGCTCCAAGTGCTTTTGCTCCAAATGCTAATGCTTTTGTTCCCATTGCGCCTAAAGCTGCCCAAGCTACCATTTACCCCATATTAAAATCATCTCTCTTCAATATTATCTCATAAAAGTTCTCGTTACTGGAGAAAGTCAATGAAACATAAACATTCTCACGTGCTTCGCCCTCACCGCTTTGCGGTCTATCTAACTTCTTTCTTATCTCATCTATTCTCAATAAAATGTCTGAACAATTGCTAACATCTTCTACAACAGTTATTTCATCATGAATGACCTTCAAAAACAAACTCATTTAATATGCTATTAAAATCATCTCAATAATGAGTCCATCCTTTCCATCTTTGGGTAGCACAACATCTTTCATTGAAGAAGGTTCGACAAGTCTTATGTTAAACTTACTGACAAAGTTTGTTATACTATAATGCTTCGGCGGCGAATACATATAGTTTGAAAGACATAATATAGATTCTTCAGCAAATTCACTTATACTGGATTTTATAACAATGTTCTCACGAGACCAAATACCACCAATTGACAATCTTGTAAGCAATCCTGCTGAACCTTCTACTGTAAACGTCGATGGTAACATTCCACGAAGGTCATCTATTGACATCGTTGAGTCACTGTATTTAAATATTTTCTTAAAGCAATCGTCATTATCTAACCATGCAATAGCTTTGAAGTTTTCATTCGAATAGACATCTGCTTCATTAAATGTAAAACCTGACTTCTTTGCAGAGATGACTTTAAAATCTATTGCATTTGTTTCAAAATTATATGCTATGGTAACTGCTGAAGGTAATGGATGCCCTTCCGCAGTCAGTTGTTCTCTCACTACCGTTTGAAGCTTTGTGTTAAAAACTTTCATGTCATCTCCTGTATCTAAGTTCACATACACAGCAACAGGGAAACTATCTTGCTTCTTTGTTTCATCATTATATCTCAAAACATTAAAGTTCTTCAATAATATTGTTCTTCCTGCTGGAATACTTCGAACCTGTCTGATTTCAATAGCTTTCTCACCTCCTACATACTCTACCCAGTGTCTTGGATATTCATAAGTATACTGACTTTCTTGAATTTTGGTTGGTTTCATCATAACGTGTTCATAGTATATCTTTATACTCTTGTCAGTTAGACTCGGTGCTATGTTCTGAATATTTCTGACTTGCATTTTTAATGGAGATAAAATGAAGCATTTAATACATGACGTAGATGAAGACATGAATGAAACTACAGACAAACTTAACTCTTCTCTCATTCTTCCTTTCAGTAAGGACTATGAGTTCTGTTCAAATGGTGTTTATTTCTATTGTGGAAAGATGGGTTCAGGTAAGACATTTAACCTCATTCGTCATATACTCATAACAGAACGTTTAGGAAATGACTCATATTATGACCAAATCATTATATCAGCAACTTCAGACTCTATGGACTCAACAGCGAAAACATTTATGTCAAAAGTTCAAGCCTCTGTCGTTAAAGTTCCAGACAGTGAACTCATTGAATTTCTTCAACGTTACATTCGACGTAAGAGGAAATATTATGCCATCGTAGAGTTCATACAGTCAGGAATGCAAAAGACTTCTGAGGAGATGGAAAGAATTATTGACAAACACCACTTACGTCAGTACTCAGGAGTTTACGATATGAAACGACTTACAAACTACATTCTGTCAAAACTTTCAAAATACCCCTTCAAAAAGTATCCTTCAAACACTCTGCTCGTTTGCGACGACTTCGCCGGAAAAGGTTTAGTTTCAAAGCCTGACTCACCATTAGCTAACATCATAACTAAAGTCAGACATTACCACTTAACTGTAGCAATACTTATGCAAACATGGAGGTTTTTAGCTTTAAACATAAAATGTCTCATAACTGACTTCGTTATCTTTCAAGGTTTCTCACGCTATGATATTGAACTCATTTGGAAACAGTCAGGTATAACATTACCTTTTGAAGAAATTTGGGAAGCATATAAGTCTCTCATCTCTCCTCGTTCATACCTTGAGATTCATATCATGACTAATACCATTAAAGTCAAAAATATTCCATGGGAACGACCAACATTGTTTTAAAGTTTAACCTTCAATTGACTGATGGTAAACAAATTCCATGCATCTCTGTCACCATTTCTGTTAATATTTTTGCTGTCATTCATATCATCCACTTCCCCATCCGTTAGCTTTTGAGGATATGCGTTAGAATAGCTGTTCTTAAATGAAGGCTTTTCACCTTTGAGAGCATAAACTCTATAACTTTCTGCATACTTTATGTTTGAACCTCCTGAGCCATCATTGACATAAATTTTTATAGGCTTCCACCCTTTGTTCATGTTCCTGCTTCTTCCCTTAGCTCTTTTGTTCAGTAGTTCTACATCTTTATACACAGCACCTGTCTCAGTGAATTCAACAATATTTTCATTCGTTAGCTTTACATTCAAACCCTTGTCGAGTATATTGTTCATTTCATACATATAAAAGGTTTTTATTCTATATGAAATGAGAAGCAAATCCATCTTAGCTGGTGCCGTTAATGTTCCAATTGAACCAACATCAAATGTTGACTCACGAACGACAAACAATATTGTCATAAAGAACTATAGTTCAGAGTGTTTGAAAGAAAAAGAACCAGAACTGAAATCCGTGAATTTAAACTCAGCTTCAAACGCTAACGCTACATCAGATGTTAAGTTAGAGTATCCACCACTGGACCAAATTCTTTCAAGAGAAGCCAACGACAACCCTTACACAAATGTTCAAACAAATCCTTCAGATAACGTAGACCATTACCTTCTTCAGTTATACCAAACAATTTTACTCAAAGACGATAAGAAGCTTTTGACAAATCTTATAAGCAAGAACCAAATAATTCTAACAAAGGAGGACCTTGAAAATGTTATATCACGAATAACAGGGAAACAATGTGTCATTGACTATCTCGACCCTGAAATCGAATGCTGTGGTCAAACTCCACTATTCATGAAAATAGGTAACATCCGCATCATTGAAACACCAGGAACTACAGGAGTTGAGTTTAAGTATAAATATTCGAACGAGTATACAAAACTTTCAACAGAATATAAGCTTTGCTTGAAATATGTTTTAGTAAATTAAAGCAATTTGTAATATCTGTCCAAAACTTCTTCAACAGTATCGAACTCATCTTCATAATGCAAACCTAATCTTATTGACTTGGTGCAGTTTTCACTAACACAATATTTTTCTGTTCTCTTGACTGACATAACTAACTCATTTGTTTCATCAAACAGCAACAACCAAAGTTCATGCCCTAATACATAACATTCATACTTTATATTTTTAGCTCTGAGTTCTCTTGTAAGCTGTTGCATTTAATATTTTCTAAAAAGTCAACTTCAACAGTCATTCGCACTGGTGCCTTCAGTTCTACAGGCTCTCCTTGAAAGTCAACAAGTCTGAATTGCATGTCTTTCAAATTATGAGGACTAATGCGAACCCATTTACCTAAATGAGTTGCTATGACAGGAACGTTTGGAATGAACATTGAATTGACTGCATAACAGAAGGATTTATATTCTACTGAACCTGAACTTTACTATTAACTCCTGAAATACCTGTGACATTAGCTATTTTAGACTCAATGTATAAACAATTGCCATAACATACGTATGGAACAGATTTCATCTCAATCGTTTTGTCAACACTTTTCAAAGGAAATGTTATATGGTATGCTCCTAAAAGAAGTTGAACTCTATGACTCATTCGTGTTATCTTGAACTCTTTCTTGCTACTGAACTTCAATGTTCCTCAGAAGAGAGTTCGACATCTA